CAAAAATATAAGTATTTTTTTTGTAAGAATGAAATTAGAAAATGTGAAATAACTCTTCTTTATTTGGTGACTCTCACACTTTTGGCGATAACAAGACATTATTTCTCATGATTACGATAGGTCTTCTTCTCTTTTTGCTTTTGTCAATTTTGTCCCGGATGAATTGGTTTTAGGGAAACCTGCTCTAGTAAGCGTCGAGAAAACCTGAAATTCAGTTCATAAACTATGGAGACAATCAGAAACTTAAACCTACTAAGCTCCTAAACAAATAAAATATAAATTAAAAGGTAGACATTATCCAGATAATAGCTCTATCCGCAAATTATCTACATTATACCAGTTTTAATTAGATGGTTTTTCTTTTAAAACCGAATGCTATCACTTTGTAAAAAGTATTTCACACTCGTGATTCACGAGTCGTGAACATGCAATAACGAACTTGTACATCATATTTGAAAACTCCAAACACAACTTATAAAAAAATGCATATATGAGCTTTATGTTAATTGAAAAATAAAGTGCATGACCAAAAGAAAAAGTGCATGACTTTTTGGAGATCCAAACTACGTACTAATCTCATCGTAAGATTACCGTGACACCTATCACAATCAAATCGCAACATCTTTCTCCCTTATTTCTTTCGAGTATCTTAGTTAATCTTTTTTTTTGTCTGGTGTATCTTAAATAAGCATAAACATATATCTGTTTTTCTTAACAAAAAAAATTATATTTGTCTTTTTTTGTAAAATCATACTATGCCTTTTTAACCATCTTTAACGAAACAAAACAAAAAATATCTCTTTTAACCATTAATTTTTAGACTTCTGTACCGCCAATAAATCACAAATTTGTGTTAGATTTTCTTTTCCTTGTTTACCAGTTCAACAGTGAAAAAACCTTGTTTGATAAAAAAAGAAAGAATGGAAAACCCTTGTTTTTGTCTATGCAAGTAAGATATGTACTTTACTACTTTAATTTATTAAATATTTGGTGAACTGTAGTATTGTATTTATTCATTCTAAGGAAAGATGAATAATGCATTTCTAGTTCGAAATTTCGAATATTACAGTTTCAGAGGAATGAGTTACACCTCATAAAAATATTAGTAAAGGTTGATCCTAAGCCAAAGTCCAAATTTCCTGATTAACTAAAAAAACATGTAAACCTAAAAAAATATGACTTTTTATTTATAACTTCAAATTTTGGAGTCGAAAACATACATTTCCGTGAGCTCGGAATTGTACACTTAATAATACCATGATTTGGCGTAAATCTTCTTTCTCTAAAGAGATTTAAACTTAAGAGACACAATAGAACCAACTCATTGCATTAATTACTAAACTACCATCACAACTAAAGCGAAAATAGTATAGAAAATGCTTCATATAAATTGAAAAATTAGTTTTGGTGAATTTTTTTTCGAAAATTAGCAAAAAAATAAGAAAACTAATATATGATTTTAGATATGTTTAATAAAAAATAATATAAAAAATGCACGATAAATAATAAGCAGAAAATAAATTAGGGATATTGTCATTAAATTTACCTTTACATATTTTAAAAATATATGTGATATTTTAAAATTTCTAAAAGATATAGAGGAATTTTGTTTTTCATTTTTATGTTCAAATATACTATCGTACTGTATTTTAGATCCTTATACACTATCAATTAGACTCATCAGTCATCACTAAAGGAAATAAAAGCAAGAATTTATAGTGATATATGGATTAATCTAATTTTAGTTTTGTGGTTAAAAAATATATATATGTATCATACATACATAAAGAAATTAAAAGTAAAAGTAACAAAGGGAAAAAAGGACGAAAGTCGAAAGAAAAAGTCGGCAGGAAGAAAGGGCGAGCGATCCACAGCTTTTCTTCTTTTTGGTTTATTTTGTCTGTTTTTATCTATAGCCATTCTATTTGTTTTTGTGTTTTAACATTTCTATAGCCATAAAATGAAACTTGTAGTAGAAAAATTGAGCCTTTTTTAAAAAAATGAAACTTGCAGTAAAAAAATTGTTGGTAATACTATTGGGTTACGTGGATTGATGGGATATCATACTATCTATATAAATATTTTATATCAAGTTTCACATATCTATACTAATTATTATTTTATTTTGTTAAAATTTATATTTATATACAATCACGTTATATATTTACATTTATAATAAGATCACATGATATATATCTATAGCCATTATATTTATACTAATTATTAAGACATGATTATATAATCACATGAATATACTCTTTTAGAGACATAAGCGTTATCTGTCGGCACAAAATGTTTCCCTAACTGGTTTGACTTATTCAAATTTTGGATTATCTTTTGGAAAGATCTCTAGGTCACTATGTGCCGCGAGGCGTTCTGCGTTCATTTGGAAAATTGATGAAAACATTATCCTTCTTAATTAACCTAACATTAACTATGTTCCAGAAAAACATATTTTTGTGCTTGAGTTTGTAGAGCTTTAAAACTGAGACCCCATCCTCTATTAGTCGATTGGCTTAGACCATGATTATCAAAGAAACTGAGATAAATTTCTTCTAATAAAAAAATCAGTTTTAATCAAAAAGGTAGACTAAATGAGGAGGATCGATTCCTATATAAAGATTGGAAGGAGTGATCCTTGTGGCTGATGTGTTGATGTGGCGCTTTCCTATTGGATAGAGGTCACTTTTGGGTTTTTGATGATTTTTTTTTTTTTATTCTCTCAACTTTATTAATATAATAATTGTCAAGAAATTTCAATGGATTTATTTGATAAACATGCTCTTACATCATTTTGAGTGAGCCAACCAATATCTTGATTCTCCCGGATATTGTGAATAATCTGTCTGTAACTCTGGTTCCAAGAAATATTACAAAAATGGGACGTACACAATTTATCTGTCTGTAAATTGCAAATTCATTAATTGATTAACCTTAAATGATGGGTGAAGAACATGCAATTGCCACGTGTCAAAAGAAGAATCTCGTCCGGGATCGATAGATAATTATCTTTTTTATTGATATAGAATACATGAATCTAATTCTCATCTGAACTTTTCGAGTTGAAAGAATCACTACAAAATGAAAACAAACGATATTTTTACTATGATGATCTGTTCCTGACGGATTTTAGTAGGCTTGAAGCTCTCAAAAATTTTCGATGTGTACAGTATCCATCGACAATTTCTAAAAAAAATCGTCTGTTTATCATCAAAAAGGAACTGTCGTAAATTTCGGACAAATTTGAAAACGGGTATTTAGCCGTTTGAATATTATTGAGAGCGTAAATGTAACATATTTTTTGTTAGAGTATTGCGCTTAAATGTAACCTTTGTTGTAACTGTTCGTATAACCATTATAGATTTGAAAATCCGTCTCGAATCTTGTAGTGAATGCTTTTTTATATGAAAGTCTTAATCTTCGATCCTCCAAGGCTTTGCTGAAAAGCGGTGGAAGAAAAGAGCGGCTTGGCTTGTGAACTCATCTACTAGGTAATGGTTCGGAAGGTGTTACACGTGTGTTAACATAGCTCAAGCTTTTCAGTATTTTGTGGTCCTCGCTTTCACATTTTCGGAAAAAGGAGTACAGTACAGTATTTACTACAAAATAAATAAATAAATAAATAAAAAGAGATAGTCTGGAAAAGCTCAAGAATTTGAGAGATGAACCCGGTTGATTATGGCACATGGTTGAATGAATTGTTCTCGGACCATTGTTTCAATCATGCATGGTTAACTACAGTAAATATTCATTAGCACAAAAAAACTACAATATCATATTTATATCCTTGTAAAAAATATCATATTTCTGACAATTTCAACTGTAATGAGATATTAATATTTTATATCCATATATATTAACAAGGTTTAATGAACCGCCTGTATATCATGTTTTACATACGTATAAAACCAAGAATTTTCATTTTAAAATTAAAATAAAAAATAAAATCGAGAGTTTATTAATTTGTTTTGTAACAAATAATTTTTATTTTTTCAAAAATTTATTTCTATTTTCTGTTATAATTTTTAATTCAAATATTAAAGTAAATACAAATTCATAGTATGGATAATTTATTCAATTAACATAAAAAAAAGTGTATTTTAAAAAAAGTAATTAAAGATGTAATTTTCAATATTAAATCTAAGAAATCTTTACCCCAAGTTCCTCTAATATTTAATATTTACATAATGAAATCACAAAAGTGTCTACATAATAATTTATATATATATAAATATATTATTAAGAATATACACTAATTATTAAGGAAACTAATATATCAAAAATTATTTAACATTTAACCAAAAAAACTAACCAAATAAGAAGATAGGGTGAATGGGTTTTAAATAAGTATTAATTCATGTATTTTAATGCAGATAAAAAAATGTTATAATGTAAACTTGGTACCATCGGTTTGGTTAATCAAATCTTTCTAGATACTTCGGTTTAGGCTGATAACAAAAAAAAAGTTATAATATTATGATTTATTAATTTGTGAACTTAATCATCGTATACAAACAACTTACTAAGAATCTACATATTTAAAAACTTTTTTATATATAGTTTATATGTGTGTGTATATGGGAGCTTATTCGTGATTTCTATATTACTATATATAGGGGAGCTCATTTGTGACTTCTCAAGACAGAAAGCTCCCACTCACTCTTTCGCCTTTTGCTACTCTTGGATGTCTTATGTTTCAAACACATTCTCTCGTAAACCCTAGTAAAACCATACAAGGTCAGCTGTCTTTTATTTAATCATCCCATACTAAACTAGTTATAATGTGTGTGTTGTAGTTAATCGTTAAATATTTATATAGAGATACATTTAATTATATGCATATTGTAATGCATGTATTTTGCCTTCGTACGTTTGATCTTAACTTATTCTAAACGTACGTGTGTTTTTTCTTTTTCTTTCATGTTTATGTTTTCAACTGACTCCGAAGCTCATGGATTGTTGTCGTTAGGTCAAGGAGTTAACAAGTACGAAGAATAGCAATGAATAAAGATTACTCGGTACGTACGTTTTCCCATATCTCAATCATTAATTTCTTCTCATATATATATATATATATATATATATATATATATTTACAAATTTATGATATGATTCAATTCCTCTCAGGCTCCGAGTTTTTTCGGTCAAGTCTTAGATGGCAATGACGATAACAGTGCCTGTATGATAGACTATACGTTCAATACAAACCTTCAACAACAAAAGCAATCGATGCCACAACAGCAACCGCATCAACTAGTGTCCCATTCTTTAGATGAAATGAGCTTTGCAGACGTGATGCACTTCGCGGACTTCTGTCCGAAACTGGCGTTGAGCCAGACCAGGAACCTTGACGATCAAGAAACCAGGATTGACCCGGTTTACTTCTTGAATTTCCCAGTCTTGAACGGAAAGATAGAAGATCATAACCAAACCCAACATCTCATATCTTCTCAAGGAGGTGAGTGTGGAGGAAACAAAGGCAACGATGACCATAACTCCGTGCAACTCCATTTTATTGGAGGGGGAGACGAAGAAGATAAGGAGAACAATAATGTTACGACAAAGGAAGTGAGGAGAAAGAGGAAGAGAGCTAAAATAAGCAAGACCAGCGAAGAAGTTGAAAGCCAAAGAATGACTCATATCACGGTCGAGAGGAACCGTAGAAAGCAAATGAACGAGCATCTACGTGTCCTCAGGTCCCTTATGCCTGGCTCCTACGTTCAAAAGGTATGACATTCATTATCAAAAATTATATCAATACATCTCACACTATATCTAAATCAAACTAATGTTAATGTATACGTCAGGGAGACAAAGCGTCTATCATAGGAGGAGTAATAGAATTTGTAAGAGAGCTCGAGCAACTTCTACAATGTCTAGAATCACAGAAGCGTAGGAGAATCTTGGGAGAATCCGTTCATAGCCAAATAGGGGACATGACCACACCAAAAAATGTGGCAGCTAACCAAACTCAAATCGAAAATGTAACCGAGCTAGAGGGCGGAGGAGGGCGGAGGGAGGAGACGGCGGAGAACAAGTCGTGTTTGGCTGACGTGGAGGTGAAGCTACTAGGGTTTGACGCCATGATCAAGATACTTTCAAGAAGAAGACCAGGACAACTGATCAAGACTATAGCTGCCTTGGAGGATCTTCATCTCTCTATCCTTCACACTAACATCACTACCATGGAACAAACCGTCCTCTACTCCTTCAATGTCAAGGCAAGTTTCACTTGCTTACATTATAGTCATAGGCGCTTAGATATATTATGCATATGAAGTTTCTTGAGCGCATATACTTATGGTTAGATTGCTTACAATTACCTTAATGTGTTTTAGTAAACAAGAAGGGGCAAAAACAAATAGTCTTGTGGTTTCGTCAAGTCATTGGGTTGGACAGCAGAACATTTCACTAGGTGGATGATTGCATGTTCGAAAATTAAAATGAAGTATGGTACTCGGCTTTCCTAGATGGACACTAGTCATAAATGACAATTTTAAAAATATTTGATTACTATATTGTTTTGCCATAGTAGGCATTTACTATGGAATATTAGCATATTCGTTCTTAGAATTTTGGAGGCTAAGACTAATGAAAGCGAAAGAAATTAGACGTTTTATAAATTTTGTAATACATTATGGGTATTAAAAATTGATATAAAATATGTTTTCCAAAATATTATAAGATAATTAATGAAAGGGAGTTTTTTAAATTCAGTAAAGGTAGTACTAAAAATTATGTTTTCCCATTATAGCAAATAATTAAAAAAATTGAGGCCAAAATTTTTGCAAAATATTAAAGGGCCTAAAGAAAATGTTTTTCATTTGTTCATTAGCTGGACATTATCATGAAGATAAGTCTTGTTGTAAAGTATATGTCGTAGTGGTAAAACTTACTCTTGCGGCTTTTGTTTTTGTGAAATTTCTTGTTCGTCGATTTAGTTAACAAAATCCTTTTAATTTAGAAGTACATGTCACCAAAAAAAAAGAAGTAAATGTAGCAACTGATAAAGGCTAACAAGATGTGGGGTAAAACATGTGCAGATTACAAGTGAGACGAGGCTTACGGCAGAAGACATAGCGGGCTCCATCCAACAAATCTTTAGTTTTATTCATGAAAATACCATAATTTAAGGATTTATATATTTGTCCTATTTTAATATTATTTCGATTAAAGATGCTTTTAATAAGTTTATGTTAGTGACCTTCTTTTTTTTTTTTTGGTCAGATCGTGTTCCTTAGAAACAAAAATGTATGTTGGATGCATGTTGGATGTCTTTTTGTTTTATTTGATTTTTTACCTTTTTACAGTTCTTAATAATTTCTTTTTGTTTAGATAATTAAATTTAATATATCTTGTGACATTTTTATTAAATTAGTTTTAAGTGCTAAATGTTGAAACAGTCTTAATGTTTTATAAATGCATGAAACCCAATGTCTATTAAATGAACAGGAGTTTTGAATGTACGGCAGCAATTTTTACTACCACACATTCAGAAGTCACCATTTATGTGTACATGTTTTTACTACCAAACAGTAGTTAATAACTTAATATACACAAATGAAATATGATAAGCATCATTAACCCAGTAACCCTTATAGATTTCTTATGTATTTTTTCGTATCAAATTTTGATAAAAAGCTGTAATAAAAAACGTTTTTAACGTTCTTAAATAAGAAACAATTCTTAACTAAAACTTTAATTATTTTAATCGAAAATATTATTAAAAGATATCATTAGATATTTGCGTTAATAATGATCTAAGCATCGGTTTTTAGCTTATAATTAATTTTTTATTTATTTTAAATACTTTTACCACCTAAGAACCTCTCTAAGAATTTTGGATTGGAGATAGTTTAGGTAGTCTAAAAAGGTTTTAATTTTTTTTTTGAAATATATATTTATAATTATAAGAATTTGGAAAAAGCTGAATTTGTAGGATAACTAAAAAACAAACTAAAATTAAGAATATAACACTTTAAAAAATTATTAGGTGAGTTAACCATGACTTCAGGAAATAGAGGATAGCCTTATTTTCTCTTGAAGATAAGTATGTGTCATTCTACATAGATAGTCTTCACGCTTGAACTAGACAGATTGATACTGGTGAATGAAAGTATTTTATCTATATACATAATTATATATATATATCATGTGGCTCTTAATTGGACCAATAAGCCATACATCCAATGACAAAAAAAAAAGTGTCCTCGGTAACCGTCATTTCCTCGCTGAATAAAATTAGACGATACAAGAGGTACGTGCAACGATCTTTCATACCAAATTGACCTCTACATTCTTCTTCTAATGTTTGTATTCTTTCGCAGTGTGGCTATTTTTGTCACAATGGAAGCATTTCAAATTTTTTTTTTTTTGTATTTTCTTTTACATTTTGACCTACTCCTACTAGAATTGCTTACACCACATTTCGTTGATGAAAAAAACTTAGCTCTTGGTGATGAATCTAGTACTCACATGACTTTGTCAAAAAGTAAATATAAGAGATAAATTCAATATTTTGCTCCTTCTAAAGTGTCTTTTACCTGTAAATGTTTTCCCTTCTTCGCCGTATGGCCAAATACGTTTAGCTTTGTTGCCTTTTACTAGTTTTACTATGAAAAAAAAAAGAGTAAAAAGCTGAAAATTGTTTCCCTCAAAAAGACCATCATAAATTTACCTGAAAAACCCGCCGTTTGTCTTGGAAGAAGATGGGATGTGAAAAAAGTGAAGTTAACGAAGGTGAAGCAAAAAATGGTTAATAACTAATGTTTCTCCAATGTGTTATAGACAATAAATTGTCTTCAGACTACTGATAAAGTACTGTTTAATTTCAAGTGGGTCAGTCTCTGCTCTTCACACAGAGCATTTTGGAATTCGGATTTGGACTTTATATTAGCGTCATAATGTCATAGTCAAACTAATAAAACTACTCCGCTACGAAGTTGATAAATTGTATCAAGCAATAGTTTCTTGTAAATCGATCAGAGTCACGAGCTACGAAGTAACGAAGCCCCTATACACATAACAAGTACATTTTCCCATAAAAGAGGACTGTCCTTACCAATAATCTTTGAGGACAAGACATTAAACTCATTCATTTTCTTCAATTTATGTCTCTAAAATCTAATTTATTACCCTCAACTGTAATCTGTACCTCTAATTCCTTCTTCTATATAATCTATCCTATTCCATGCATGCATGCATTCAAACCAAACCATAAAAACATCTCTCAACTTAGATCTGATCTTTTCTAAACAATCGAACGTGCGCAAAAAACAAAATGGCTATGAGGTTCTCATCATCGCTCACCAACCTCGTGCTTCTCTTTGCAGCTACGTTGCTTTTGGTCCAGGCAAGTGCTCGCAATTTGCAAGAATCTCAGACTCCTCTGCCTCTCCATGGAGCCACTGCTCCAACCAAAGCTGAGTCTCCTACCGTCAATGCACCTCTCGAAGACCGTAAGAATTTCATAGTCGGTGGTGCGGCCGGAATAGGTGGATTCATGGGGATGCCAGGTGGTGGAAGTAGTGGGACCGGTTTGACATTGCCACTCCCGACCGGTACGCCGCCGCTTCTTGGTGGGTCCTTTGGTGGTTTGGGCGGTGCAATGGGCTTTCCTGGTGGTGAAGCTAATGGAGGTGGCTCTGTTCCAAGATCGGGAAGTGGTTTGGTGTCTCCGTGAGAAAGAGAAATAAGATGATTTGGTCTCTAGCTTTTAATAAGGCGTGTGTTTTTGTTTCTTTTATGTGTTTTTAGTTTCGATCATCATCGTTCTTGTTGTATGTTTCTTCTGTGTGTTCTCGTCTTTGGTTGGTTTTCTCATCATCGGTTTATGATGGTTTAATGTTGTGTGTTTCCTTGCTTATTATCTTTAATAATTTCTGGTTTTTAGTTAAATCGTGTGGTATATTTTATGACACATACTACTAATTAACGTGACCATGTTTGATTAAAAAAAAAAGGTGAGCGTATATGAATGAGAATATTGGCGAGAGAGGACGGAAGAAAGTGATAAAAAATGTGTAAAATCTTACAATTTAAAATTTTAAATAGGTATAACATTATTCAATGATTCAATCGTCTCCCACCGTTAAGGTCTCTTGTCGTCATTTCGTGACCGTTGAATTAAAACTATAGTAAAAATTATAGCAAAATTCTGAATGGATTATTTAACAAAAAATATTATAGGATGGATTGATTATTATTTTAAAAATATATAATTCTAATTATTCCATTTGTAATCAGTTCTGTAATCTGCCATCAATTAACAAAAAAAAAACGGTATTTTGTAATGTCCGTTTATCCATGATCCGACCCGGAATAAAATAAAACACAAATTTAACAAAACCGAATTAACAAAGCCCAATCCGATACCAAACCTTTAACCGAAAACAGGTTTGGATTTGGAAATTGGTCAAAATTAAAAATTGTGAAGTCAAAATTGATTTGGGGATTGGTCAATTTCCTATTTGAACGGTTCTGTGTCACGAGAACGAGCAAGTCCTGTTGCGAGCAGGTCGTGTTTGTTGCAGTAGCAGGTCGCCATGGATGATGATGATTATAATCTCGCCATTGTTACGAGGTAATTGTCGTTTTCATGGTGTTTTGATTTCTCTCTTTGTGAAATACCGCTGTTATGAGTATTTTTTTGGTTATTTTTTGTTACAGGATTTTTCTCTATCCTCTGGTTTATCTTGGTTTAGTAGTTATATTAATTACGGTTTGTAATTCCGGTTCATAAAACTTTAATCACGCTATATGTAAGGCTCTTTGGCCAAATATGAGAATCAATCAGAACATTTTATTCCCAAATCTTATCTTCTCTCTGAATCATCATCATCTTCCTTTCCACCTGAATCTGGAGCTCCGAGGTGATCTCTTCTTATCCATAGATCATCTTCTAGCCCTCATTCTCCTTTCCCCGAGCTCTAGGTGAGCTTCTGGATCGGATTTATCGGTTACACGCGAGATTTACTGTTTCATTTTTCATATGAAATTTTTGGTTTGTTGTTTCAGTGATGGTAACATTGAGAAAGATGATGAAAACGTTGGAGCAGAAAGTTGAATCAAAAAGGTGATTATAACGTGAATGGAGAAGAAAATGGAGATGAGGCAGCCGAGAATGGTAAAGGTAACATCAGTGAAGATTTGATGTGCTAAGGATAGCTTTATTTTGAAATTAGTATGTTAATCTAGCTTCAATCTTCTATCTGCCATGGATACTGCTTCCACTGATAGAATGCTTTCGAGCGAGAAATGTGTAGGGTTATCAATGGTTATGCATTTCTGGTTCATGAATTGAATTTGTAATATTGAGTTGGTATAAAGTTTCTATCTTCTGGCTGATGAGATTTCCTGGAGCTGGAGTACTAATGTAACTAGGTGGTTTTCAGATGCTATGATCTTTAATATGATTTGCGTTGTTATACATGATGTTTCTGTTTTTTTTTTTTTTTAAATTGATTTCTGTTTTCGTGATCTTGTACTTGCCTATATAATTGACAATAATTCTGACATATGTTGATGTACCAATTTGGCTGATGAGCTAACAAACATTGGGAATTTTCACTCTGCTCTCAAATACTATTTATTAGCAATCAGTGAACCTGTGAATGTAAAGAGACAACCAGTTGTGCTCCATTTTTTTTTGTTTTCTTGCAACTTTTGCTTCATAACTAGTTTTGTGGTTTTCCTTGTAGAATGGCTATGTGTTTGTGAAAGTTGCTCGCTGTTATATGTCATTGGAGAAACGAGAAGAGGCCGTTGTTTTCTATTACAAAGGTACTTTCCTAATTTTCGTTTAGTTAGAGTTCGAATTAGTTGTTGTGTATATGTGTTTTCTAGAATGGAAGAGTTTTAGATACATATATCTCTAGCTCCCTCTTGTCAAGCGTAAAAGATACAAAAATATGTCCATAGTTAATTGCATGGGATGTTTTGAGAAGGTCTCTTAACCTCAAAATCTTTTACGATTTTCTCTGTCTTGCAAATTAATAATGTGTGTCTATTGTATTGTCAGTTTCTCATTTGCTTTTATTTCATTATGTTGCTGACTGAAATTCCCCTCAGCTTTACATGAACTCAGTGATCCGGTTGATCCATAACTGCAACCTCCATATCGTTTGAATGCCTGGAACTGCTATTACAAAGTAATTTCAAGGTATACAGGGCGACAAATTTCACTCTTGTAAACCCGGTCATAGTTTGGACTATGAATATATCAATATTGTTATTATGTGCAGACTGAAGCTAAGTTCATGCATCACTTACGAAGCAAGTACAGAGATTGCGTACCTGCGTATTCTGATTGCTGGTCATCATTTCACCGAGACAAGCCGACATCAAGATGCTGCAAGAGAAAAATACCTCGAAGCATATTAACTAATGCCCGATAGCCCCTTGATTAACCTCTGTGTAGGTAAGCAAGCATGTTTCTCTTTGGCTTTTCCCGAGTTACCTAATCAGTTAGATAGAGTTTCTCACCTTTTCTATCTTCTTTTTTTTTAGGAGCTGCTTCAATCAACTTAGCCCTCGGTTTTCGACTTAAGAACCGGCTTGAGTGTCTTGCTCAAGGCTTTGCATTTCTATACAACAATCTTAGAATCTGCAGTAACAACAGTCGAGAGGCGTTGTATAACGTTGCTCGGGGGTATCAGCACGTAGGGCTTGTGACTCTTGCGGCTTCATACTACGACAAGGTTTTAGCGGTTTACGAGAAAGAATATCAGATGCCGAAACTCCCTAACGGAGATCCAAATGTTGCGGAAGAGCGTAAACCTATTAACTGTGACCTACGCAAAGAAGCTTCCCACAGTCTGCATTTGATCTATAAGCACAGTGAAGCATTTGATCTCGCGAGGCAAGTCTTAAAGGATCACTGCACTTTCTGAGATATGTTAAGCACAATGCACGAATCATCCGTGCTCTATTTTTCATGTCTTCATAAAACCCTTAATTTTGGTAAAACTCTAGCTGCCTGAGATATATATTATATAGTTTTATGTAATATATCTTTTGAGATTGGATCAAGACTAGTGTTTAGGTCTGTTATTATGGTGTAAGATAGAGATATAAGTTGAAAACTTTGACATTCTTATGTTAGAATGAGATTTTCATTGATTCATAAAACTCTCTTGTTCATGTTTTACATAGTTTTAACAAAAAAAACCTAAAAAAAAAAAATACAAAACCTGTTTAACATCTCTGTTCATCTAAGATCTGATTAGGTTCAGTTTTGTTGTTTTCCTTCACTTTTTTCCTGTGGCACCTTGTGAAGTGGAATCTCTTTGCTTTGCAGTGTTCTCTTCAAAGGCTTGCTTCCAGACAGGTTTCCATCTTTCCCGAGCAATGATGACCTTAACTAGTTGCTGCCTTAACCGACGTAAGATCACAGGTAAAGCCTTCTTGTGGTTGTGTCTCACAATCTCAGACATATCTCCACCATATAGCATTTCGATGCATCTGTAGAACTTTACTCCAAGATCTTCCAATCTCATCTCTCCGCTCATAACTTTCTGAGCTCTCTCCATTGCACTACTCAGAGTTTCCATCAACATATCAGCCTCAAACATATCGTTTTCGCATCTCGCCATTGCTAATTCGTAACCGGTTAGTTTCTTTTGTCTCGAAAAACCTTCAAATCTTATCAGACAGCACTCGTTGTTCAGTTCCTTTTCTGAGACCGGAGACTGTTCCTCCTCATGGATAAGCCTATAGCTTGGTGTCAAATCTGTTTCATTCAGAGACCTCTTAACAATCTGTTTATTCGAGTCCTTTACAAGAACCTCTTGCAAGATTCGTCCCTTGAAGGAATCATCTTCTTCCGCGTTTTCTTGAATCTTTTGATTACCATGAAGATAAGGATCTTCTTTCAGGTTCTCAACCTTAATCTCAAGATGATTCGCCTCGTCGTCTTCAATCTTTGGATTACGTCGAAGAAGATGGTGATCATCTTCTCGAATTTCACCTTCTTCAATGTCGCTAACTTCACCTTCTTCTTTTTGAGACTTATTGCCGCAGAGAAAGTCTGTGAAGCGTCGATGAAGAAACTCGTTTTTCGCGAACAGACGAAGAAGAGATTTAATGACTTCGCTCTTTTCGATTCTGCGGTGCCTAAAGTCTCTCAACAAGGATGTGGTCTTCTGCAAATCCTGTGGGTTTAATCTCTCTTTGAAGATACTCCATAACTCAAGCACGTTCTGCTTCACCATCGCTTCTCAATCGCCTTCAAGTTTCTTTTTTTTTTTTTTCCTTTTTTTCTTCCTTGTTACACACGCGACTCCTTTTTTATTAACGTTATATAGTTTTAAATTAACCAATATAATTCAGACGTCGAGAAAAAAAATTCTTGAAACTAACCCTAAAATTGTTTAAAGTCCGGTTCGGTAACTGAACGCTAGACGCTAGCGATTGGTATTATAAACTGAACCGGAGCTGCAGTAAATCTTAATTTCCTGGGTCTGATTGACTAAAAGTTTAATTAGGGGGCTTAATGTTAAGAGAACTAAACTCTAGGAGCGGTTTTTTTAAAGGTTTTGTCTTCTCCCATTTCAAAATTGAAATCGTCTGCTTTCGAATTTCAACTTCACCTTAGTCTGCGAAAATTCATCCCCAAGCAGAAAGCTTCCTGTCCATGGCGGATCTCTCGATGTCGAAGAGAATCGCAGGTCTTCTATTTATCTCTCGTATCTTCATTCCTCGATTTTTGTGCTGCTTGTTCATTTATTTGTCCGCATTTTTCACCCGCGTGAAAGAACTCGAGTTCCTTCACCGGAATCGCAGAGACGAACTTGGAGAATCGTGTTCTTCATCAGATTCCGAGACTCTTGGTTCCAGATTTTGCTCTTCAGCTTGAGGTCATTGCGAGTTTGTGAGCTAATTTTCTGGTTCCACATTTGTATGATTTTCGCCTTTTTGTTTTTGTGCAGTGAATTATATGTACAGGATCTCGAGAGATGGCTAATTTATGTTTCGGTTTAACCCAATTTTTTTTTTTTTTTGGAATTTGCATAGACAAAGGTGAAAGAGAAGAGTATTGCGATGTAGAAGAGATTTTTAAAAATATTTTCAGGTATACTTATCTGAAATTAGAGGTGAATTTTATTTACATGATCTCGATAAATGGCTGATTTATCCTTCATATTGTTGAAATTTCGTAGAAAAAGGTGTAAGAGATTGTTGAAGAAGAGTACTGTGATGTTGATTCATGCTCTCAAATTACAAGTTTCAAGCTGGGATGATTAGATCCCCTATTGCTCTGAACCCTTTCACAGTTTTCTTTTGAGTGTTTTGACAACTCCTTCCTCTGGGGAATGTTACAAGGATGTATCTGAACCAATAAGGAAATGAAGTGACGCCAAGAATCTATGAATCTCACAGATGATTAGTTGGACTAGTTGAAAAAGGAGATTCATTTCTGGGGTTTCATAAGAAATTGAATGTCTTTCTAAGTATTGTGCGGAAGGTTCAATATTAGCTTTCTTCTACTGATTTATGTAGAAAAGCATGGCATTCAAGTCCTATTATCTTTATAATTTGAGTCTTCTTATATAAATATGTTAGACTCTAGTGGGCTGGAATGGGATCTTGAAGGTCTTCTATTGTCTTATTTCATCTCAGGTAAATGTTCATTGCTCTTTTCTCAGTACTTTAACGAGAATCTACTGGGTTGAACTCATGATTTCCTTGTAGTTTCTCGGTAGAAGTTATTAGCTGGAATCAAAAGGCTTGTCTAAAGGGTTATGTGCGTCTCATTCTAGGATGTCTTCTGTCTTTTGCTGTTTAATTCTTAAAACTCCAAACTTTGCTACTTGACCGTGTAAAATGACTAGCTGCCTTGGAAACATATAATCTCAGGGTCTTGGATCAAGACTACTCTGAGTGTTTAGGTCTATTATGATGGTGTAATACAGATATAGCGAGATATAGATTTGGGATGAAAATTTAGAATCAGCTTTTCATTGATTCGTAAACCTATAGTATTGAAACATAAAAAACCAATAGAAAATATAATAACCTGATTCACATTTCTGTTCATCTAAAATCTGATTCAGTTAGTTTTGTTGTTTTCTTTCACCTTTTCTTGTGGCCTTGTGCAGTGGAACCTCTTTGCTTTGCAGTGTTCTCTTCCAAGACTTGTTTCCAGCCAGGTTTCCATTTTTCCCGAGCAACCATGAGCTTATCTAGTTGCTGCTTTAACCGAGGTAAGATCACAGGTAAAGCCTTCTTGTGGTCTTCTCTCACAATCTCAGACATATCTCCACGATATAGCATTTCGATGCATCTGTAGAACTTTACTCCAAGATCTTCCATTGTCATCTCTCCGCTCATAACTTTTTCCGCTCTGTCCACTGCACTTTTCAGAGCTTCCATCAACATATCAGCCTCAAACATATCGTCTTCGCATCTCGCCATTGCTTCTTGGTAATCGGTTAGCTTGCTATCTCCCGAAGCATCATCAAATCTCACCAGACAACACTTGTTGTTGTTCAGTACCGTGTCTGAGAAGGTACACACTTGTTCCTCCTCGGGAATAAGTCTATAGCTTGGTGTCACTCGTCCGTCTAACCTCTTAGACGTTCTCGTTCCCTTCAGAGACCTCTCGTTCGTGTCCGTCTCCAAGATTCTTCTCTTCTTTCCTTCGGAATTGAATTCATTGGTAACGTGTTTCTCACGCTCTCGCTTGTGAGAAACGTCGTGTTCTTTAACCCTAATCTGAGTAGTAGGTTGTTCTTTCGAGTTCCCATCTACTTTAGCCCTAATCGCAAGATAACCTTTTGGATCTTGTTGGATTTCACCTTCTTCAAGTTCGCTGTATTCAACGTCTTCTTCTTGACCTCGTTTCGCGAACGAAAGTTGAACAGATTTTCTGAATTCGCTGCGTGTGATTTTCTGCTTATCAAAGTCTTCGATCAAGGATTTTAACTCCAATGGATTCATTCTCTCACTGACGAACTTACCGAGAGTGATTATCTTACTTAACTCATCATTGTCGTTCTCCATCGCTTTTAAATCGCCTTCCACCTTTCTCTCACTTTTGTTGTTGTTGTTTGTTTATGATTCTTTGTTACATATACAGAAAGATTTGAGACTCTCTTTTCTCTCTCTATATATATATAGTAAAAAAGGAAGATCTAAGGCTACTCCTATTCTTTCCTTTTTTTCTTTGATTATTTCCTTTTTGTCTCCTAACACAGGTGGGATTTTGATTAATTGTACCAAAAAAAAAAAATTGTCTCCCAAGTCCTAACACAGGTGGGATTTGGATTACTCATACAAATTTTTACCTTTTTAGACATTTTTAAAAAAAAAACAGATAGAGTAAAAGAGAATTTTACTAAATTATGAAATTGGGTGAGACGAACATCAGCCTCTTATTAAAAGAGCCAAACAGTATATTCTTCCACAGTCTTTATGAAATTTATTAATCTATAAGGACTTCTTATTTTTGGATTTAAAAAAAAAGACTTTTTTTTGGTTTTAAAATCAAATATATAATGACTTAAAAAGCTAATTCAGTCACATCTTTCTCGTAAACTGAATAAATCAAGTCCGGTTCAATACATAAACAGACCGATTGGTGATAAACTGAACCGGAATTGCATCGAGTTTAATTCTATGGGTCTGATTGACTCAGAAAAACAATTTGGGGGTTGAATGTTAAGAGAAGTATAACCTAGTGGCGATTTTCCAAGGTTTTGTTTCTCTTTCGCCTTTCCCATTTGAAAATTGAAATCGCTGCTATCAACTTTCAACTTCACTTCTACTCTCTCTCACTTGTAACAGTAGCGCGAAAACTCATCCTCAAGCAGAAGCCTCCTGCAATGGAAGATACCCACGAAGGATCTATCGATCTTCAAGAGATTCGCAGGTTTTCTATTTCTCTCTCGTCTGTCAATTCCTCGAATTTTGTGCCGGTTGTTCATTCATTTATTTGTCCGTATAATTTTTCAGCCGCGTGAAAGAGCTCGAGTTCCTTCGCCGGAATTGCAGAGACGAACCACGTCCTTCATCGGATTCCGAGGCTATGGTCAAAGATTTTTCTCTTCAACTTGAGGTAACTCGGGAGTTTCAGAACCCTTTTCCCGTTTTTGTTTTTCGCATCTGTATAATTTCCGCCTTTCGTGGTTTGGAGTGAATTTATGATATAAATTGCGATAGATGGCTAAATTACGTTTCGGGTTTCTTCTCTGTGTTATTAAATTTGCGTAGACAAAAGTGAAAGAGATTGTTGAAGAGTACTGCGATGTTGATTTATTGGAATTCGAAGATTCAGGTATGCCTCTTGTATTCTCTCAAAATTTGAAGCTTGGTGATAGATACTTCAAGGATGAGATGCTAACTGGTTCCTGGGAAATTAAGACTAGATAAAGAAGTATATATATTTGATGAAATATAATTTCTGTGAGCCAATAACGAAATTAACTGATGCGAAAAGATGTTAATCTCACAGATGCTTACTTGGAGTACTTGAGGAAGGAGCTTCATTCTGTGGAGGCTGAAAGTGCTAAGGTTTCTGAAGAAATTGAACGTCTTTCTAGCTCTCATGCCGAAGGTTTGATATTTGATTTCTTGTGCTGATTTCATATGTATAATAAGTATGGCATCAAGGTTCTTTTATCTTTATTTTTAATATGAGTTTTCTTTATGAATTTGTTAGACTCTAGTAGGCTGGATAGGGATCTTGAAGGTCTTCTACTGTCACTAGATTTTCTGTCATCTCAGGTTATTTAATGATCATTATGAATTACTTGCTTTGACAATAATTTGACTGGTTTGAATGCTCCAGTTAAAGTTTTTTTTTGCTGGACTCAGAAGACTTATGTTTAGGTGTTATGTGATTCTCAATTTAGGAAGTGCAGAAATCAAAAGAGAATCCACCATCTACCAGCTCAATGGAAAGATGTGATGCGTCGACTTGGATTGATGTGAATGATGATGAGAAATTTAAGGTGCGTGGTTTTAAAGTTTTGTTTCTAGGAGAAGAAGCTTGGGTGTGTGTGTGTGAACATATAAACTAATGTCTCAACAAAATTTTATACCTTTTAAAATATAGTCTTTCCAGTCAGTCCAACTCTTGCTTGGCCTGATTGATAAGATCTAATGTGGCAGAAAGTACTTTCCTTTTCAATACTCAAAGGTTAAGAGTCTTGATGCACGGGTACGGCAATTTGTACACGTCTCCGAAACGTTTCGGGGACGGGTACTGATTGGGGACGGGTACTGATTGGGGACGGCTCGGAAACGTTTTCGAGGAAATTGGGGACGGGTTATATTAATATAAAATTTCTCCTAATATTAATGATTAGGAGTGGTTATTTCCCGTAGTAGTACAGTATTTGTGGATTTAGGAGATGATAAAACTCTCTGGAAGTATTAAAAACAAAAATTTAGCCCAATTGTATGTATATTATTTCGGTATATATGTATGCTTGACGTATCCATAGGGCCGTACCCGTTCCCGTATCCGTTCCCGTTCCCGTTCCCGTCCCAGTTTCCCGACCCCGTACCCGTGTGCAGTGCAGGTTAAGACTTAACATCAAAAAGACATCTATTTTCCAGAAGTTTGGGTGCTCATTTTTTCTGCTTGCTACTGCTTGTCTTCATGTTGTTTTATGTTGTGCAGAGATTTGTTCATATTCGGTTTTAATAGAAAAAGATTAGAGCTGTACCACTTCTCTGCATAGTCTTAATACACCCTTTTTCACATTATTTTCAGATGTTTGAACTTGAGAATCAGATTGAGGAGAAAAGGAGGATTCTCAAGTCATTGGAAAATCTTGATTCTGTATGTAAGAGGTAAATGAAAGGTGCTTTCAGATTTACATCCTACCCTGTCTTTGTTTGGGTTCTTCACTTTTCTACTGTCAGGTTTGATGCTGCAGAACAGGTTGAGGACGCATTGACAGGCTTGAAGGTGCTTGAGTTTGATGGAAACTTCATTAGGCTCCAACTGCGAACATATATTCCAAAACTAGATGGCTTGCTTGGACAGCACAAACTTTTACACAATACTGAGCCATCTGAATTGATCCATGAATTGCTAATTGATCTTAAGGATAAAACTACAGAGATTACAAAAGTTGAGGTAAGAACAAGCCTCTGAGTTTCATTGCTGGCTTGTTTAAGTTTTAATATTGCTTATGTTTAAGAACACGCCTCTTAAGGACAAAACTACTAAATAAGTGTATATGTTTGTTGCTTCCCGTCCCTTTCCGTGAATAAAATCGAAATGTGCTTTTCTTCCTCAGATGCTTCCAAACGATGTATACATTGGAGACATCACAGACGCTGCTGATTCTTTCAGGTTTGTGCCTCTTGGTGTTATCTTGAAATTTTGGCTACTTAAATTTTCAGGCTAATTAGGAATCAGAGACAATAAGATGATATAAGCCTATTTATTCTTGTTACCAAGAGCCTTCGATTTGATAACTTTGGTTTTCAAAAGGTTACTCAGCTTCTGGCTTGAGTGTTCCCAGTTGTATGTACCATTTCAACCACATGGCAAGAAAACCTAGGTTCTGTGATTCGGTATATGAATTTTGCATCTATAGCCTTTTGCCTCATTAGAATCTCCTAATCTAAGATATGTATCTGCATCCAACCTCTAGATCTGGATTTCATTTTTCAACAGTTTGAATTAATGTCTAAGCAAAAGATGGTATCCTTTAATGCTGAGTCACATCAGCGTCAGTTACCAAAGTTGCCATAACATATCTTAAAACTGCAGGCAGATAAGGTTACACTCTGCATTGCTAGACACAAGATCTTCACTCCAGTGGCTTGTCGCCAAGGTGCAAGAAAGAATTATTACGACGAATTTAAGAAAACATATTGTGAAAAGTTCGAAAACAATCAGGTTAGCGTTTCCTTTCCAATAGCTTGAGAGCTGAATATTTTTCCTAGGGAAACTAATGTCTTTGAGTTGTTTGAGAAAGCCAATGCACTGCATGATCTATGAATCATTTGACAGGCACACGTTTGAATACTACGACAAAGATGAGACAATTGTGGCTCATATAACCGGAGGTATCGATGCATTTTTAAAAGTCTCTGTTGGTTGGCCATTGCTGAGTACTCCATTGAAGCTTACATCTCTCAAGAACTCTGACAATCAGTCAAATGGAATTTCGCTGAGCTTAATCTGCAAAGTTGAAGTAAGACCGTTTATCTTTGAATTCAACACTTCTCGGTTTTACAATTTGCACCATAAGAAAACTTTTGTTTGCTAAAAGCAATAGTTACTTTCTTCTCTCTGGTTATTGATGTTAGTCACATTTGATCTCTCAAATCGAACATGTAAGATAGTTTCACATGATTAAGCCACTGATTTGACATTGAGCAAGTTTTCTGGTTTTGATATAAGCTTAACGATTTATATCTTGATCTAATACATTTGTCAGGAGCTAGCGAATTCCTTGGATTTACAGACCCGACAAAACTTATCAGGCTTCATGGATGCTATTGAGAAAATACTTGTACAGCAAACTCGTGAGGAACTCCACTCCAATGATTCTCCCACAAGTAGGGGGGCCACTGAAGACGTAAAGAAACATTAGCCTATGTCACTTAATTTTCTCTATGTAAAAGTTAGAAATCAAATTTAAAAATATATTATTATATTCGGTCTATGCTAAGTTTTTATTCCTGAGCTTTGATCACCAAATTACTACTCATACAGTATCTCGAAACTTTTTTTATGATCACAACATAAAGTCTTAGGTCAATAAATAGCTATTACGTCTATATTTCTTCTCGTTCTTTTAATTTTTGTTTTTTGTATGTATTCAGACATTCAATCTTTTTTCTTTTCTTTTTATCACGTAAAGTTATTGTTTTTCTACATTAATTGTGTTCACTATAGCCCATAGTTTAAATTTATTGTAAAATTAATTATAATCTATTTAGTTTTCTTGTTTTAGTTTTTTTTTGTTTAATGTATAATAAAAAGAACAGTTTTTAAAATATAAATATATGATTCTTAATCATATATATACTACATTTTCTACGTATAACCTATATATCTACAACATGTATAAAATTAGTTATGGTAACTATATAAACATAATCATATACAGTATCTAAATATATAATCATGTAACTAGTATAAGAGATCATCAAAAAAGAAAAAATAAAGGCAATTATCTTAAATAGACTAAAAAAAAGTAAAAATTGACAAATATAAGACATTCTTTGAAAAGCTATCATTCATTAAAGATGCAAATAACTCATTTTGCCTAATCAATTTATAACACGTGACTCTTCTTCTTTGCTAAAAAAATAAGAAATCAGAAAATATCGAATAGTCGCCATCAATAGTTACCAATTTATCATTGTCGGAATAATCGCCAGAGATAATCAGCATACTTGCACAGATTCTCATGTATTTTTGAGATTGTTTTTCTTAATGAAACACCAAAAAAAAAGCAACTTTTGTTATCTTTCAAAAAATATAATGTACATACACAAAAATCAAATCTTACTTACAATTCAGATCTTCATTCAAAATTGTTTATATTTTCATAAAGTATTCAATAGTTTGATGACTAAATAAATTATATGATAAGTATAATATGATGATTGGTCAAAATGTTATGTTCAAAAATAGTGCTTTAAAAACAAAAGGCCGATTGTAATTTCACTAATATATTTATGATTTCTGTAATAATAATAGTTGGACTTATCACTAGTAGCTTATAACCTCAAAAATCTTAAGCGCAATTAATGGGTGTTCAAACCGGTTAAAGCGTACCTGATATAACCCAATCAAAAGAAATTACTAAACTGATTTTTTAAAGCAAATGATTTCATTTTGCTATTTCACATGAAACTAAAATTATATATGGTAAAAGTAACACCATAACTTAGTCTCTTTCGAAAAGTTTTTGCAGTTTATCCACATTTTGACTTAACTTAATTTTTTTTTGGAGATTTCTGCGGTTTGTCTTCAGTTTAGATTTACATAACATTGTATTAATTTGTTTACTGCAACTCTTTGTTATAATACAATTGAAATTAATTTATGCCACACCAATCATATCTAATGATAGAGCTTGCTGCTTTATACTTAATGAAAGAACAAATATTACAAAAGATTAGACATGAAAATGCCAAACTTTATAACTTTTTCTGGTCCTCAAGTTGCCTTCCAATGTCAACATCTTTACTACATTATCTTATCATCCGCATATAGATATATATATATATATAATCATAATGTAATGTATGCACATTATAATTCATATTTAACATTATCCTCATACATGCATCTCTTCTTTTTCCACACCAACTTGTGCATATATAAATATATATATATATATATATATTTTGTTTTGTTTACATACCCACTTGTGCATATAATTCTCCACATTCTTCTTTTTATATATATTGTATATGCAAGACTATTGGTTGAAGCCAAGAAGCTCTAGATTCCTCTGCTCATGGAGGAAACCACCACTGAGAGCTTCTTCTCTCCTCCTAATCTTCCTCCTGAAATGATGGAAGAGATTCTCTTAAGACTACCCGTAAAGTCATTAACGCGATTCAAAAGCGTTTGCATCTCGTGGAGATCTTTGATCTCAGAGACTCTGTTTACTCTAAAACACGCTTTACTCTTGGAGGGGTCCAAAGCAACCACTCGTAAGAAGAGCCCATACGGTGTCATCACAACTTCTCGGTACCATCTCAAGTCGTGCTGCGTCGACTCTCTGTACAATGAGTCAACGACCAACGTTTTAGAGCATGATGGTGAGCTTTTAGGCAGAGATTACTATCAAGTGGCGGGGACTTGCAACGGATTGGTCTGTTTCCATGTAGATTACAACAAAAGCTTCTACTTGTGGAACCCGACTCTCAAGCTTCAACAAATATTATCTGGTTCGGATCTTGAAACGAGCGATGAGGTTATTGTAACGTATGGGTTTGGTTATGATGAATCTGAAGATGATTATAAAGTGGTTGCATTGTTGCAACAAAGACAACAACAACTGAAGACAGAGGCAATGATTTATTCAACGAGACAAAAGCTATGGAGTAGAAGCAGCAACACTTGTTTCCCATCTGGAGTTGTTGTTGCTGACAAATCAAGATCCGGAATCTACATTAATGGGACTCTAAACTTTGCAGCTACTCACTCTGACTCATCATCCTCATTGTCGACCATCTTATCGTATGATATTTCACGAGATGTGTTCAAGGAGCTTCATGGGCCAAGTTGTTGCAAGAGAGGATGTTTTACATTGACGCTTGGAGATTTGAGAGGATGTCTTTCGATGGTTTGTTATTGCAAAGGTGTAAATGCAGATGTTTTGGTGATGAAGGAGGAGTTTGGAGGAGGAGAATCTTGGTCTAAACTCTTGAGCATTCCCGGTTTGACTGATTTTGTTCGACCGCTTTGGATCTCAAACGGTTTAGTGGTTTTGTTGGAGTTTAGATCCGGTTTAGCTCTCTATAACTGTGCCAATGGAAAGTTTCAGTACCTAGTTTCAGACAGCTTAAGTAGTTGTCGCGACGCCAAAGTTTATGTCAAGACTTTGATTTCTCCATGTGATCTTTGACCTTTTAAGACTTGGTTCAGTTTATATATATGCACACCGTTATTATACATCTAGTTAAAAATCATTTTCTTGATTCTGTTTAGTCGTAAAATTACATTCTCATGTGGGAAAAAAAGGAAGCAATCAATCAAATATATTCCTAACAAATTCCTCAACCATTATCAAAAATACATTCATCATTGTGCTTTGAGCTCGTGTTTTACGTACAGAGAGGAATCTGAGCCGTTAGATCAATCGTTGTCCGAGGAAGCTACTTTTCCGGGCTGGAGCTCCGACCAGAACCTGAGTTGGTGAAGACAGGAGTGTCTCTTGGCATAGAGACAGATCCACGACCACTTACACTTCCACTGTTTCCCATATCTTTTGTCTTGTGAAGCAGAAACGTTCCTGACAAAATCGTCACAAAACCACACAACTCTGTGGCTATCTTTAATCCGCTCTGCGAGGCCCAATCCTGTAAACACACACATAAGAGGAAGAAGCGTTGAGAAAGCAGATGGGAGTTTGGTTTAAGAAAGAAGAAGAAAAGGAAATTAGAGAAATTTTGAGACCTTGAACATGATCATACTAGCTATGATGGTGAAAGTTGTAAACATAACGTAGTAAACCGGAGAAATAACCGCTGTGTTGAATGTATCTAATGCCTTTTTGCCAATACAAAAAGAAGAAAGAAACTTCAGAAACAGATGAGCCCAAAAGAAAAATGAAATGTGTGAAGGCGATAATCGATGAATCAAGAAGTTTTTGTTTACCTTGTTCAAGTAATTGATCTGCAAAATGCAACACATGGTGACTACTAAAATGAAAATCCAAGCGTGGAAGTATTTGAACTGATTCATCCCTGAAAATGTAAGCTTTATGGCAATAGCCACAGCTTTCACACTCATCACCTAAAAACACACATAAGACAGACTTTGAGGAACAGAGAGAGAGAGAGCGAGCGAGAATCAAGAGAAAAGATGAAAAATACTTACAGTAAGAGAACCCATTAACGAGCAGATTCCAACATAAACTAGCAAATGAGTTTTCCCATAACGCGGTTCATAGTAAAAGATCAGTACAAGCACCACAATCAAAATCACAGCAGAATACACAAGAAAACCTGAATCAAAACAGAAAAAAATTCATAAACTTTTTGCATATCAGTCTTTGTAAGAAAATCAAAATGCAAGGCCAAAACTTGTGTGTTACATGATATATATATATACCTGGTTCAATAGCTAGCTTCCATACTTGCTTGACTGATTCTATCTTCTGCTCGTGTGGAGCGTGTAAGACTATCGTTGTAGACCCAACAACACAGAGAACGCAACCAAGAACCCCGAATATATGCAACTTCTCTTTCAAGATAAAATGTGCGAGCACTGCGCTGCATAAAACAGTTGTGTTTTTTCCGTTTTTCAAGAAAAACCACAAGTCTGTTGATATAAATTATATCATTGCAAGGTTTTTTACAAGAACAAGAAATACCTGAATATAATGCTAAGAGCTCCCAAAGGTGTTACTAGAATAGCCGGAGCAAATGCATAGGCCGCAAAATTTGCTACTTCCCCAATAATCACTACATTTAGTAAAAAAGCCATTTTACAAATTCGGTTAGAATCTTGAGGTTTTTGAAGAACATTTTTTGCAGCATTTTGACGACAAAGACTTACTTGTTATCATTCCAGCCCACCACCATGGTTCATATAAGTATCCATGTCCTCCTTCACCTGATCACAGATAAATCAACAAGAAGAAGCAGTAAAAGTTACTTAAAAACTAATCTTGCAAAATTGGAGTCTTGAAATCAAGAACAGAACATCTGATATAAATAAAATACCTGCTCGTACACCGCTTGCACCTGCTTTCTTGAGACCTTTCTTCTTGATGATGAAGCTAGATCCAATGAAAATACTTGAAGAGACTGCTAGAATAAGTCCATTGATGTTATCAGGTGACATCTGATCCATCTTTAGCTTATATATATAGTTGTTTATATATAAGTAAGATGAATCAGCCTGGAAGATAACCAAAACTCCCAGAAGAATTTTGGGGATAAAGATTCCAAATTTTCAAAGAGATTCTTGCATCTGGAGACAAAACAAAAAAAGAAACACAAAAACATGATGAAAATGAGCTTTTGACTACAATTGAATCTGATTTCTTATAAACTAGAAAGAAAATTAGCCTCATAAAAATTCAAATGATGACTGATTACTTTAATAATTAGCTCATCAACCAAAAACAAACAAAAGAAATCTTAAAAACTCCCAGTGCGTAAAACAATGGCAGAAGAGACAAATAAAGAAACACAGAGAGAGAAATAGAATCATATCGAAAAAAAAGAAAAGACAAATCTTTAAACCCAAAATGAAGAAGAAGAAGAAGAGACATGGTTTTTACTCGCCAAAAATAGAATCAAAATCGATGCTCGTGGAGAAACTACGAATCTTCAAAGTTTTGAAATTTGATAGACTTGTTCTCTCTGATTTAAGCCGCAAAATTAACGTATGAAAACTCAAAACCCTCTCATATACGTTACCTTTAAATCCACATTAACTATTAATTCTCGAATCAATAATTAAAAAAAAAAACAAATATCGTCAGTAATTAAAAATAGAGACAAGCAAGTGAAGAACACGCCAATGACTTAAATCCAATCACTTCACAAATTCATCAAATTATTCACGGAACCCAAACGCGATTTCTGATTTACAATGAAAAAAAAACGATTACGGCGAATAGAAACAAACGATGAATTAAAGCAAGAACGTGCCTTTTTTTTAAGAATATTCGAATTTGAAAGGTACCTCTTTTTCTTTGCCACGTTCTGTTCCCAAAAAAAAACCCAAAATTTAGAAAAAAGCTAAGAAGAAGAAGAAGAAAGTGAGTCTAAGACGCCATGAAAGACAACTGATTTCTAGTTGTTCTTCTGTTGAAACAATTTCTAAAAATTAGGGCTTTTATTGTTTTTGATGGAAATTAAAATTCAAAGAGAAGAGAGTTTTGGAATCCAGCGGATATTGGTAACGCAACAGCTCAGAAATTGCTAATGCACATTATTGTGTTAACATGTGTATATATGTAAATATATCATAAATTAACGATTACATGCTCGCCACCTTCTTTAATTGCCTTTATTCTTTTCTTTAACAAATTTATGGTTTTTCCAAAAACAAAATTGGAAAATTTACACTTCCGTAACCAAAAACAATCTTGTTATATAAGGCAGAAAAAACAAATCTTCAAAATCCGATTGTTGTTTCTACGATTATGGATGTGCAGTTAAAATCCGAATTAAAAACCAACAAGAAGTATTTAATAATGTAGATACGGTCAAACAATCTTAAGGAGTTTTGATGTGATTACTTTAGTGTAAAATTTGTAATCAAGGAGGCTTTTTTTTAGCTGTTGGGCAATTTCTGTAGACAAAGCAAAAGATTCACTAGAATCTCTATTCGATTGATTTGGTCTCTGATGATGATAAGATGTATGATATTTTATCAGATTGATGCAACTTGTGAGAGGGAAAAAGTTGATATCTACTGATGATTTAAGACTCTTTATTGGTAATAGAGTATTGTAAACTTGTGAGTAAACCATAACATTGAGTATTACTTGACCTTTTTTTTCTGTATGTCCCTCTATAGCTTGCAGGGAAGAATGTTAAACCTTTCACTAAGCAACGTGCAAGATGATCCAAGACTTTGCTATTCAGCCGTTAAATCAGAAATGTTGGGGATGTGATGACAAATGACTAATTGACAATGATCAAGAAGAAGAAGCTTAGAACAAGTTGTAACGCTTTGGTAGAAGTAATGTTCTACAAAATGGCCAAGACGGTCTGACGGTGTCTAGATGCTACGCGTAGATATTGACATGTTCTTTAGGTTGACAAGTACTTGCTAAATTTCATGTATTTGCTATTTGGCTTGATCTGTTCAAGTTATTGGATTTGTGGTCAAACAAGTACTCAAGTTATTGGATTTGTGGTCAAAGTACTTGCAAAAAAAATTGAATACCCGCAAATTATTTGATCCAGTTTGTTACTTGCACAAATTATTATTTGTTACTTGAATCTGAAATAATATTTGATCATTTGAACCTAAAATTGTTCGACTTTATAACCATCGTTATTAAACATTTATGTTATTACACGGAGTTAAGCGGTTTTAGATACAATGTCATTTACTAATTAATATTTTTAAAATTTTTAACTAAATATAATTAAATTTATAAGTAATAACTTCATAAATACATTGTAAAATTTATATGTTATTTAATTTGAAATTGAATTGCTATTTTTGCCTAATTCTATTTAATAGTTTAACATTCTTAATTTTTTCAAATAGATGTATATTTCTTTATTTTGTAAACGTTTAAATCATCTATAAATCGCATAAACCCGATTAGATATTTTAGATGTTAGATACTAAGTCAACGTCTGTTTAGCGCTTAATTATTTTGAACATTGGATAGAAGGATAATGGTAAAAACTTAAACAAATTTTAAATATTGTAACTCGTGATGTTTAATATGTAAGATTGGCAGAAATGAAGACCAGTGTGCAAATATAGTAAAAAATAGTAAAACCATAGGAAGTTAGGAGGGAACCTAGGATTAGAAGAGAGCCTCTCTTCCAAAGAGAGAGATATCGTCCCACTTGCGGCTTAGATATTCTTCGACTTTTTTCCTCTTTCTTCTTCCTCTTCTTCTATTGCTTTTCTCGATTTGCTAGAAACCCTAGAACCACTGGATCTACCTTCGATTTCACTGTTCTGCATTCTACCTTTCCATTTTTGGTAATGGAAGCTTAGGTTAGGCTCTGCTCTTACCAATTGCTATTTCCGAATTAGGGATTTTAGCTCTGCAGATTCACTTCGTCGGTGTTCAATCTGAGATCGAATTGGTGCTAATTAATCACTACTTTCTCTAATGGCTTCTGGTGCTGGTAAGCCCTTCTGGGTAAAACACGCGGAAGACGCGAAAATCAAGGACGAAGGAGAGAAAGACGCTGCAGCGAAAGCAGCTTTCGAAGCTACATTCAAAGGCATCGACCAAACTACACCTCTTATCGAAGCAGCTCCTTCCTCTATAGTATCGCAATCTGCGCCTGAATCTGACAGCGATTCGGACGATGAATCTGATTACTTATCAAGGAAACCAATTGGTCCCGTGGATCCGAGCAAGTCCACGGCTTCTGGAGCTGGGATCGGTGGAGGAACGGCTTGCGTACCGTCTACGTTTGTAGTTATAACTAAAGACTCCGATGGAAGAAAAGTTCCTAATGGTGGAGCTTTGGTTAGGGTTAAAGTGTCTCCTGGTGTAGGTGTTGGTGGTACAGATCAAGAAGGAGTGGTTAAAGATGTTGGTGATGGGAGTTATGCTGTTACTTACGTTGTGCCTAAGAGAGGGAACTATATGGTGAACATTGAATGCAATGGGAATCCGATTATGGGAAGCCCTTTTCCAGTTTTCTTTAGCCAAGGTACTGTTTTTCTCATCTCACTTTTCAACAAAGTCTTGTTCGTGAATGTTTTGATGGGACAATATCAAAATCTTGAAAAATCTTGAAAAAACAGGTTCTTCTTCGACTGGACTGATTGGTTCTGCTCCAGCTTCATACTCGAACCTCGTGAATCAAACAATGCCAAACATGCCCAATTACACTGGTTCGGTCTCGGGTGCATTCCCGGGGCTATTGGGAATGGTTCCAGGTATTGCACCTGGTCCTTCAGGTGGTGCTATTTTGCCTGGTGTTGGAGCTTCACTTGGTGAAGTCTGCAGGGAATATCTTAATGGTAGATGTGCAAACACTGTTTGTAAGTTGAACCATCCTCCTCAGAATCTGCTGATGACTGCTATAGCTGCAACAACAAGCATGGGTAGTCTTAGTCAGGTTCCTATGGCACCTTCCGCAGCAGCAATGGCTGCTGCTCAGGCCATTGTCGCCGCACAAGCCCTTCAAGCACATGCTTCTCAAATGCAAGCTCAGGCTCGATCAAACAAAGGCTCTTTAGGTATTGTTGTCGTTTCGTTGTTGGTCTCTCCTAGTTTGCTTTCCTTTTTGTGATGATGATACTCATGAGTTCAAGGTAGCTTCTCATTTAGGTTCCATAGGAGAAGGAGTACATGGAGAGGCATTAAAGAAATATCTCCAAGTTAGCAACCTGAGTCCACTGCTTACAACTGAGCAGCTTAGGCAGCTATTTAGCTTCTGTGGCACAGTAGTTGACTGTACTATAACTGATTCAAAGCACCATGCTTATATAGAGTACTCAAAGCCCGAGGAAGCAACGGCGGCTTTGGCATTAAACAATATGGAAGTCTGTGGTAGGCCTTTGAATGTTGAGATTGCGAAATCGCTTCCTCAGAAACCATCTTCGGATAATTCTTCTTCATCCTCACTACCAATGATGATGCAACAGGCCGTCGCTATGCAGCAGATGCAGTTCCAACAAGCTATACTGATGCAACAAGCCATGGCTACTCAGCAGGCGGCGAATAGAGCTGCCACCATGAAGTCTGCCACGGAGCTCGCAGCGGCTAGAGCTGCAGAGATAAGTAAGAAACTAAAACCTGATGGAGTTGGAAATGATGAAAAGGTAGCTGAACAGAAATCTAGGTGGGCTTCCTATAGACATTTCCCCCTCCATGACCTAAGGCTCGCTCCTTTCTCTATTGTCATTTTCTTGAGAGCTTGAACTGATGGTCACTTCTCTTTGTGCAGGTCACCATCTAACTCTCCTGCGAGGTCGAGATCGAAGTCAAAATCACCAATTAGTTACAGGAGAAGGAGGAGATCTCCGTCTTATTCACCACCGTTTCGTCGCCCCAGAAGTCATAGATCAAGATCACCGTTGAGATATCGCGGACGATCAACTTACGAGGGGAGAAGACGGTCATATAGAGATTCTAGGGATATTTCTGAGAGTAGGAGATACGGTAGATCAGATGAACACCATTCTTCTAGTTCAAGGAGAAGCAGAAGCGTAAGCCCCAAGAAGAGAAAGTCCCAGCAGGATGATTCAGAGGTGTGGAGACATCGATCGCGTAGAGATAAGAAATCATCTCGTGGTGGTTCACGATCACCAAGGCGACGCAAGGAAAGTAAATCAACCACAAGAGACGATGAAGAAAGCAAACATAGTAAACGCAGAACACGTTCACGATCCAGATCAGTGGAAGATTCTGCAGAAAAGAAGGATGAAGGTAGAAATGAGGAGTTGAAACATCACAAAAAGCGGTCGAGGTCAAGATCTCGTGAAGGTAGGAACAAAACCAGAGACGCGTCCCCGAGTTCTGACGATACTAAAGAGAAACACAGAGGGAGGTCGAGGTCTAAATCATTGGAAATCAACAATGGCTCTCATGAGAATACTGATGTTGCTGAAGACGATGATCTGTTAATGTCAGTGGAAGAGGACTGTGATATGAAGGAGAAGAGGAGGGGAAGGTCCAGGTCTAGATCAGTGGAAACTAAACACAAGTCTTCTGGGAAAAATGAGCTTGATGAAGATAAAAACTCAGGATCGCGTAGAAGAAGGAGGTCGAGGTCAAAATCAGTGGAAGGTAAGCGTAGTAGTTATAGCAAGGAGAGTCGAAGCAGGGACAAAAAGTCCAAGCATCGTAGTGGAAGACGGTCGAGATCAGCATCTCCTGATGAAAGGAGATCAAGACATAGGCAACAACACTCTACTAGGTCGAGATCGATAGAGAAAAAGAAGAGTTCAAGAGATAAAAGATCGAAACGCCATGGAGACGACGATAAAGGACGAGACGATAAATCATCATCTCCTGTTAGTTCAGAAGATCATCTCTGCAAATAGCAGAGACCCTTCTTTGAAACGAAGTATTTTTCGAATTTTGTCTATGCCACTTTCGATTTAACTGTTAAAAACATTATTATCAAAGTTGTTTCTGCTTCACCTTCTTTGACTTTTCACTTGCAGCCTCTTCCAAAGAATAACGGTTGAATTTATCCCTTTATCCAGTTCTTGACGAAAGGAGTCGATTTTTAAACCTCATTTCAGACTCTAAATTTCAGTATCACAATCAACCATGCAACAGCAACAGAGCTCTGAACATCAAGACATGAATGATTGAATAATATCTATCAAGTCGTGTCGTTGACCAAAGTTCATTGTGAAAAATAAATATTTTTAGCGATTCCAAATACGCAGTGAGTTCCTCTTCAGCAATCAGAAAAACGATGGTGTGCATAGTTTTGCTTCCTTGTATTCTCTCCTAACTAATAGATATTATAATCATGAAACATCCGAATAAAAGAACCATACGATTTATATTTTGTTTTGCTTATTCCAATCCACACAAAAATGTTCGCCATCGTAGCATAATTAACATTACACACTTGATAAAAAGAAAAGTACGACAAACCATTATACTGATTCAAACACACAAACAAACATTACACACTTGATAAAGTAAAGAAACACTGGTACGTTTAACGGAGTAAAGTATCTCATTCTCCGTTAACTAACGCCGTGATCAGACGACACTTCTTCAGCTCCGAATTAACCTTCTCCATCATTATATTCATGAAGCATTCGAATAAACATCATTAAAAAGCATACGATTATTGTTTTTGCTTGTTTACGATTTAGACAAACTAACATTACACACTTGAATACGTTTAACGGAGTTAAAAATAACATTTTATTCTCCGTTAACTAACGCCGTGATCAAACCACAATTCTTCAGTTCCCATTTAACCTTCTCCATCTCTTCGTCCGGCAACGTCACCGTCACAACCCTTTCCTCCACCTCAGCCGCCGGCAAAACCACCACAGCTCCGCCGTCTCCTATCCCCTGAACGTTACAATACACCGACTCCGGCGACGCCTCCCTCACTTTCGCCTCGTAGAAATCAACTTCGCTCAGATCCACAAACGTCAATTTCGCTCCGTAAACGATCAAATCCGAAACACCATCATCGCTCTCACCAATCGCATCGATCTCAGACCTCTCGTCGGTCGCTTCTCCGATGGATTTCACAATCTCCTCCAAATTCGCGTCGGCGACAGAAAACCCGACGCGAACGGAGCTAATCATCTGACTGTTTCTCACCGCTCTAGGTTTCAGTCCATTCGGATCCGATCTGATGATCGTAATCGTCACCGGCTCCGATTCTCTTCTCGCCTTTGCTATGCATTTCCATATGATCCCACTGAGAATCTCGAACGGAGGAATCTGTTTATCTCCGTTCGCCGGAAAGTGTGGTTGTATCTCGTGAACCGTTACATTGAAGGAGTATGTTGTCATTTTGTTGTTACTCGGAGCGACCCAGAGGTCTCCGACCGGGTCAACCCGTTTGATGGAATCCGGTTCTTTGCCCGTGGAATTCGGATTTAAAAACCCTCTTTCTAAATCAGAGGTTTTAGGGGAGTAGATCTCTTCACCAGCTAAGGCCCGAGTCCATAAGTTGAAAAAGTGAGAAAGCGAGAATGGATCTCCCATGATATGGGCCCAGCTTAAGCCGAATGCTAATCCACCGCACTTAAACCGGGTCATCTAATACAACAAAAACCGAATTAAACCGATTCTGTTTTTAATTTTAATTTTGTTTTGCGTTGGTTGGAAACTATAGTTCTTTCACTTTCATGCCAATATTAGACCATGTTAAATATGTGGACATAGATTTTGATTACATGTTAAAAATACTTTTTCGAAAGTTAATTTCAACACTAAAATAGATGTAAATAAATTCTGCAAAAAAAAAAAAAGATGTAAATAAATTTTTGTTTTGTCACGGATCCCATGCAAAGGAACATCTTTAGTCTAGAACTGGTCCTGATGGTCAGGTCGCGGAAAGGCCATCTCCTTTCACATATATGTTTTTTTCTTCTTATAATTCTTAATTTTGTATATTTGGATTTAAATGACTAAAAATCATACTTATCCCATGATTTGTATAATACGGTAACGATGATCTATATAATACGATTATGAGTCGGAAAAAATGTTTTTATAATATGGTAATGAATCAAAGTCCATAATCATCGAGGTGTTTCACTTTATCACATCATTCACATATGTTTGTCTGTCAATGTGGAATTCTTGTTGCTTTTTAATATATTTTTTTTGTTATTCTTTTGGCACTTTAATGTATCTTACGTAAAATAGTATATATATATGTACCTGAATATAGACCAAAGGAGAGTATGCCAACTCCGGTCCAACTGGCTGATGATAAACCAAAGACTCATCAACGGACCGGTTGGGTACACGAAGCCACTCCTCCACGGTGAGATCGCAATGACTTTCAACAAAACGCGTGCCACAATCGTTGCACTTTATGAAAGGACGTCCCGAGTCGTGCCGCCTGAACCTGCCAGTGATCCATGGGATCTGGTCGAACACTGTGAACAAAGGACCTTTCACGTGCGTCACGGTCAAGTCACGTGCCGTCTCGGCCGAGTAAATGTAGACCGCCTTTAAGTAGTGGAGTTTCAACGCAAGGTCTAAACCGGTGAGTTCTTGGGTCGTATCGGTCTCTGTTGGTCGGGATGCACTCACGGTTGATAACCGGAAACCATGAACCGGACCGCTTCCCTCTTCTTGAAGTCGACCCATGTGTATGAGTAGACAAGAGGAATAGATATATGAGGAATATTGGTAAAACTGATTTGTGAGTGATCTCTCAGTCTAGTCTATATAAGTATTATATAGGAAGAATTAGATATCTTCTACAGCTTTTTTTTAATCAAATTTCTCAATGTTTTGCCACGTGTCTCTCTCTTCCTTTCATCTTTGTTATATAAGATTGAGACTGGAATCTACTTAATTACATTGTTATGTTTGATACTGAATACTGATATTATAGTAGAGACGCTAGTGTTGCGTCACGTGTAGCTGAATCAATGTGACCCCATTCTTAATTGTTTTCACTATGAGATAGAAGGCTATATCACCAACGACAATGCTTTGTGAATTGCTGTATTTATGTATAATATAACTCAGATATGTAAATACAGTAGAACCTCTATAAATTAATACTCAATAAATTAATAATCACTATGAATTAATAAATTTTACTGATCCCAAGTCGGGCCAATGTAAAACTCTATCAAATTTGATAAGATAATAAGATAATAATTTTTTTTAAAACCCTATGTAAATATATGGTCCTAACCAAAATATAAATTAATAATTATATATATATATATTTATGCAAATATATGTAATATAGTATTTTAAAATATGACTTATGTGTTTGCTTTTACTTAATGTTGAAATCTCATTGGATCTTATATCTCTAATTATTATATCAGTAGTTTTTATTAATGTTTTATTATATACATTCAAAATTTATGATGATTTTTTGATGTGATAATTGATTTTCTTACCTGTAAATATTTTTAAATGTATTGTAGTGTTATCATCAATTTTATCATCAATAATAGGATAATAGCATGATTTTCTTATAAATTTTAAATTTATGAATATGTATATTTTTACATGGACAATCAAATATGGTATTAAAAATTATTTTATTGTGATAGTTATGATTGTTAATTATAATTTGCACTACAAAATTTGTTAAAATTTTAAAATATAACATTATTTCAAATAAAATTTTTAAAATTATAGGTAGAAATTAAATTTTTTCTATAAATTAATAATTATTAATTTATAAATAAATTAATATCACAATAAATTAATAAAATATTATAGTCTCGACATTAATTTATTAATTTATAGAGGTTTTACTGTATGTATGAGAATTGTTTTAGGATAGAGATTTGGAAATACATGTTTCTTGTGGAAAAACATTGCTAAATGTCAGCTCTATAAGATATGGAAATACAGCTAGCCTTTTAATTATGGGGTCTGATCCGAGTCATGTCATGTACCAAAAACTTAGTGAAGAGACACAGTCAATAATTTAAAGCCGACCAGCGATATTTAGTAATTAATTGATCGATTGTACTTTATATAGTTAACCAATGATTGAAAGTATTAGACCATCAACACTTAGAATGCCCATATTGAGATACTACCGTTAAAGATGGTCTAGTGAACAAAATTTATAATGTGAACACAAATTTAATTGAAAAATATTTTTAAGTGAATAAATCATAAAAAAACAAGTGTCAAATGAGTCTCTCATAAGAGTTCTATAGTTTTTAAAATGAGAATCGGTTCTCACCCTCTTTCTTACTTTTTCTAATATTTTCATTATTTTATTAATGAGAAATTCTCCTAGATATCACCATTGCAGATGCTCTTAAGTTTATTAGAGCTTAGATATGCACGTTTGAAAATTAATCACCATATATTAATTGGACCTGCAGGTGTTTATCTTCAACATTTTTGAAAAAATCAATTTGCTTCAGACTTCAGAATATGTATATGAGAATTAGCAATCAATCAAATACTTTTGAACAGTATCCAAAATATGGTGATGTTTTAAGACCCAAATATATATAGTTCTATCAGTTAAAAAAAATTATGAAATGATTTGAACTCTCAGTAAAATCTATATAAGCGTGTGTGTGTGTTAAGTGGAATAAATAATTATATTTTCTAAGCTTTTTTTCTCAGATATTTGTCTATAGTGCATCCTCGGTATAAATCGATGTGACTGGCATCACTGGCATGCAACGTAATCAGGTTGTTGTGTACTTGTGTGTAGTATTATATAGAGACAAGAGCGTGGCGTCATGAGTAGGTGAAGGTTCTTTACTTGTATTTACGTAGAGAAGCCTATATATCACCGAAAACATTGCTGCGAATATAAATCTAATTAAGGAAAAGGAAAAAATCACCACCGGTCTTATAATTTCGGAATTTAGTTAAGCATAGCAACACTAAGCCAAACAAATGTGAAGTGTACGAATAACCACCACCAAAAAGTTAGTCGCTTATATGACTTCAACATTTATTACGGTACCACCTGTAATCGCATGCTAGCTCCCTTAATTACAGACCGACATATAATTTGGTTTAATTTTATAAGTTCATCTATCTGAAATGCTTTATAATAATACTGTGGGAGTTTCTTATGAGTTTAGAATTATCTGATCTCCCTACTTTTAATGTTAGAGAATAGAAAATAGAACAATTTGGAAAAGCAAATGAGATTTAACGAGTGCTATCGAGTATCGACACTAATGGTGTCAGTATATATCTACTGGTGTCACTATGCCAAAACTTATTAATTAAGGATCCATAATTGAATACTTACAATAGTGAAGCCTCATTAGAAATCACCAATCCGAGCTCTCTCTCTCTCTCACGTGTTTTCCAAACCTAAAAGATCTTATCTACACACCTCATCTTAGTTTAATTAGATATACTCATATAAGTATAACATGGATAATACTTTTTACCAAAAAAAAAAAACATGGATAATAGAACTCATCAATATCAAAAACTTGATCATACTCAAAACAATTCTCTTAATTGAGTAATCTTCAGATCGCTCGTTATATAATTTGATGGTACTTGTAGAAGACAATTTTTATGTGATTAATTATCGCAATTAAACACTTTTTGTTCTTTGCTTTTATAAATCTAAACTCACATGTTAGTTTTAATAAAAGAGTAACGTTGTTTCAGTCTTATTAAATTACAGGGCTAAGTCTTGGCCACCGTATTTCACAAAGATGATAATTTAATCTACGTATCAATTAAACTAAGTCTTATATTTATTGCTTAAGCAATTTGAAAGAATTGTTAATTGATTATTAGTTAGTGAGTTTCTATGTCAGAAAATTTCCCAATATAGGATGCATAACTAGGTATCCTATTGTGGACCATTAAATTCCATGGTCTCGTGATATCCAGAAAAGTATTTTTTTTTTATCAGAGTCCGAAAATAAAATATATAAATTATATATATAATATATTATTTAAAAACAAAATCTAGTTTATTACAACTTTATTTTTAGGTTAGTTTTATGGTGTTTATGTGAGAAACTAGTAACTTTGATCATAGAAAAAACAAGAATTTTAATGATGTCTTTCTATAGTTTTTTTCTAACAAAAATAGTTGAAAGAAGGAACTATTATATACTTTGAAAAAGGAAACTGAACGCTAATAACTTTTAAGAGAAAAATAATTATATATGATTGAAACTTTAAAAAAAAATATGAAGAGTGGGTGCATTGAACACGTTACCTGAATTATTAGGTGTGCAATTAAAAACAGATTTTATGTATTTATCCGGTGTCAAATGACCACCCAATGTTTGCATCAATCGCTGCGAACATTAGTTGCGCGTAGGTAAGTGTAAATATAGTTATATCCATTCATATACCATATTTATACGTAATACGTACATACATACTATTTTTATGCATATATTTGTATATCGCTTATATTAAACCGGTAGAGACTGCCGACAAAAAAAAAAAAAAAAAACCGCTAGAGACTAGCCTCATGATAGTATTCGTGCAGGATCTATAAATTAACGTTAATCATCATTATTTTCTAAGTATGCATCTAGAGTTCGAACTCACAGATCCGATAGCACTGAAATAGCATCTTCAATTTTTTTTTTTTTTTGTTAAAAGCATTTTTAGTTCTAACCTGTTGAGCTGACTTTACTTGGGTATAATCGCTTATTTCCGCATCGATAATTTTTACACATTTAATCAAAATAAAGAATTATTTAAATTTCAACACACGGTTATAACACCAAGAACGATAACGTTGAAATTTTACAGTTGCCTCCATACATTTTATGTCGTTCCAATTTATCATAGTTGATATGTATAGATTGAATAGATATATTAATGGTCAATATAATATATATATATATATATATATATATATATTACAACTACATGTTTGTGAATTGTGAACTGCTTTAGATTAGGTTGGTCCAATAACTATTGATAACTCAACTGCAATAAATGATCCAACCACCTTTCACGTACGGTAGGTTTGTATGTTGGATGGATATCACATGAACTTATCGTTGAACATCGATAAATTAGCAAACTGTATGGTAATATATATATATATATATATGTAAGTAATTGTATCTTGGTTGACAAACTAAAATAGGCTTTCTACATTTAATTAAGTGAAAGAAAGCTCTAGAAATCTGGTATATGCAGATTTTTTTTTTGTAATGTAATACTTTATTGCGACCCTAGATTTCTGTCCTTAACTTGGTCATCGGGAAGAAGGATGAAAGTGATCTTCCCCTGTCTTGCTGACAATAAGAAACCAAGGACGAGAGGTCTCAAGAGAGTATCACATATCCACATGCAAGTTGTTTAACCTTGGAAAGGAGGAGGATATGATGTAACGAAGCATGTCAACACTTGCCAACGCACTTTCACAAACTCTGACGCAGCTAATTATCAAAAGCTTCTTGCCTCCAAGAGTTTAGCCAAGAGCCTAGACCTCTCTTCTGCTGCTAAGCCATTCATTGCTCCCAAGACTCAGAGCTGATTCTTTGCTCTCTCGTTTGTTGCTCTGGTCATGTTCAAAGTTCTACGAAGACATGCAAACGCTATCATGGTCATGTTCGCTTTGTTTTTATTTTATTCTCAAATTCATGTCATCATTTTTTTTCTCCACATTTTTCTGCTTTAAGCTCTCTCTTTTATTCCAAACTTCTACTTCAATTTTCTTACAGCTAATATGCCACAAAACTTAGTTGATAGATAAAAGAACAGACTTCGCAAAAGAGAACTATAGTGTCCAAAGTATGTACATTTAAGCATGTCTGCTTGCCTCAACATTCAAGTTGTTTTGTTAAAAATATAAAATAACACTCTCAGAAAAAAAAGACAAGCCACATCATATCTTATTATAAAGATAAGAAGCAAATAGATCTTACTCGATGAGGAACAGCTATCAGCTCATGAATTTATTTTCTCACATAATATGGGAGAAACGCCTCTTGCCAATAGCCAGACTATGTTACCCCAAAAGGGATAATGAATGCCGCGAGGGCTTACATAATTTATGTTTCACCTAGGATTTAAAGTTATCAAATTCTCGATGTTAAATCCCAGTAAATTTTTGAATTTATTTTTTTCGGAAAAAAAGATTTGTTGTCTACTTATTGCTGCTCTACAACTCAGGAGACAAAATTTGAGCATAGGTGCTTGAAAATCGACTTGAAAGCACAACCAGAGTAAACCAATTGGACCAAATTAAACCTGTGTAAACCACAAAAAATGTTTCCACTAATTGGACAAGACTAAACCAACGTTTTAAATGCACTAAAGTAATATAAATGTATATGTGAATAATAACCCTAAAATAAATCTTAACTAGATGAATACCCGCGTATACACGGAGGTCTTTTTTGTAATGTGTTTTTTTAAATCTCACAACAAATTGGTGACCTTAATACTGTGTAAAAATTTATTATTTCTGTTATATATATTTAAAAATAGAAAGATTTTTTAAAAAATATTAAATTGTTCTAAAAATCTATAGTTTAAATCGAATGCACTGATATATTTTAAATTATATCATGTTGTGCTCACTTCTCTCAACTCCTATGAAAACTTCTTAGTTCTCTTTTAACCACACTGATATAGTTGTTATTTGTTTCACATTGTTAAAAATTATCGTTACATTATTAAAATATTATTCTAAATCTACTTTGAAAACTCTTTTTGTATTTTGGATTTGTAATTTTCTTAAAAAAACCTAATTATACGATAACGTTTGCCAATGAAATCACCAAAACACAATCCTAATCCAATCTTTCTAAACACTACACACACACACTCAAATAGACTCTTTAAACGACAACATTTTACTACTCATTTCTTCATCTTATGTTCCACTTAGTTTCTACATGTTTGGTGCCAAACTTTCAACAATCTTTCTTTTTTTGAACATGGTAAAATTTTTTAACCTCTGTTTAGTAGGTCACAAGCATTTCTATAGAATGTATTAAAATGATTAGTAGATTTTTTATTTTAATTAGCTAAACAAACTGTCATACATATCCACAAACATTTACATAAACTTTATATTATAAGCAAATAAATAAACTTTTGATAAATTATAATTAAAGAATTCTTAAGCTATACAATAACACTGCTACTTATTGACCCAGCTAGTATATTCTACACATAATCACAATTAGACTAATAGAATATAGACCTCTATTGGCAGTCTCCATGCAAAGGAATATTGTATAGTGGATGCTTAGCCTTCGCATAGATATTTTGATGTCTACTGAAATAAAGAAATCGAAAGCTTTTATAGGTCATCGCTGATTCTCTGTTGAGTTAGTAACTGATATCGTATCTAATAGTCATTCTGATTTGCTTTGATTCCTTTTTTACTTACTTCCACAAACAGATATACCTTTCTCAATTCTTCTCCTTTGCGGTGGTGATGGTCCATTCTTTCTATGCGACGTCATCTATTCTGATTTCCTAACACTTGTTCTCTTTCCTCGTGTTTATGTGCTCTCTCTGTTTCTTTTTTTTTCTTTGTCATTAATCTCCTCCTCTCTCTCCCTCTCCTACTCAAGGCTTGTCCTCTCTTCTCTTTTTTTCCTCCTTTCACGACTCTTTCTCCTCTTTTTTTTTCTTATTTATTTTTTTCTCTCTCTCGACCTCTTATGACTGCTCCTATTTTTTTTTTTTTTGGTTCAGTAATCTAACTAAAATAACTTGTATATAAGGAGATATACATTAGTTAATTTAAGGAAGATGAATCACACTTTTTAGGAAATTATCTTAATAAATATATGTTTATCACTGAATTCAATTATTTAAGTAATAAATTGATGCTTAATTACGAAAAGATTTTTTTAAATTATTAAATAATAAAAATCTAATAATTGTTTAGAAGATGATGTGTCAAAAAGATAAGTGCTTAGGTGTCAAATTTGTGAGACTCAACTCACTCTTTATATAATATATTTAACGTCTGATCTATGATCTATCCTTGATTTTTCTGCTAGCAGCTAAGCCTACTCCGAACACCTAATCAGCACCTAACTTTAAACATTACTTTTAACCAATATGTAAAATTTAAACATTCACTTTGTTGTATATTGTTTTTAGTTTCTGTTAACCATTTATATATAACACCATCAGAAAGTTTAAGAGGTTTTTTTAGAATAAATTACTGAAATGTAAGAAGAAATCAAAATTATAAAATGATATATATTTTTTTAAAATATTATACACTGAACTGAAACACAAGTTTGGAGCTAACAAAAAAAAAGAGAAAAAAAAAAAGAAAGTTGGTAGACCTTTTAATTCTTGTTGAAGTTACAGATGGGCTTTTATTATTCAACCATATAATGGGCTTTGGGTCTATGTTGAATGAAGCTGATGTAATTATGTGAATAAACAAATAGATAAACAAGCCGACGTGGACACTAATGAAGAAGAAGAAAAATAAATCAGGGAACTTGCTTCTCTACACCAGCTAACATTCTATATTCTATACACCACCGTTCTTTCATTTCTATTTTGACTCTGTTATTTCTCTCATCAGTTTATTGTATCGTTAAAACGACCGTGGTACATACTACTACAATACACTTAGTCACATGTGATTAATTTGGGCAAAACAAAAGATTCTTTTTTAAGAAAAATGAGAGTTTCTGAGCTCTGTATATAAAATCTCTTAAACCCTACACTTCGTCTTCTTCATTCTCTCACTGCCTCCTTTACTCTCAGTCACTGATTCTTCAGCAAAAAACCCTAATTTTCGGTTTTTCCTTTCGCTGAGGTTTATCTTTTCTCTTTAATGTCTTTCATAGCTTTAGAAATGGCTGGTACTCGCATTTTGTTATTATCATTTGTGCGTTGGATTTTCATCGAATCTTTGTCTGCTCTTGTAAAGGCTCGAGCTTTTTTGGATTCTTGATCGTCAAATTGAAAATTAAATGATGTTTTATAGCTTGTTTGAGTATCGTTTTCTGGAAAGTGGAACCGATTGATTAGTAATGCCTTGTTGATTTGGTTTTATAGAAATGGCTTTCTGCAACAAGCTTAGTGGTATTTTGAGACAAGGGGTTTCTCAGAGCTCAAATGTTCCGATGACATCTATGCTTGGCTCTCTTCGTTACATGTCCACCAAGCTTTTTGTTGGTGGTAAGTTTTGTATATTTTCCCTTGCTTAACTGGTTTTGTTGCTTGTACATTTGCTTTGATTTGATGTGTTTTCTAAACGTTTTTCTTATGCGCATTTGCGTTCAGGTCTCTCATGGGGTACTGATGACCAGTCCTTAAAGCAAGCTTTCTCTAACTATGGCGAAGTGACAGAAGGTAAGCCATTGGTTCTGTCTCCTTTTCATTACACAGTAGAAAGTGTTTTCCTTTGGATTGATTCTAAATGGCTATGTGACTTCATGTATATAGAAAGGTATTTCAAGAATGTTTGAATTGTTTTAGTCTTATACGATGGAATCATGATTTAGGTTGATGATGAACGTTTTGTGAGATGGTCTCAGTGTTTATAGCTTCGTTGTGCCTAGGGTCCTAGTAATGTTCTTTATTTTGGTGATGTTCCTCATTCGAATGATGTGTGGCTTTGAATGTGCAGCAACGGTGATTGCAGACAGAGAGACAGGGAGGTCAAGGGGTTTTGGATTTGTCAGCTTCGACAGTGAGGATTCTGCAAACACTGCCATAACAGAAATGGATGGGAAGGTTAGAAATAATACTGTGTTGTGTTGTTGAATTGTCCTGTTTGTAAAAGCTTGGTTCTTATTGTGTTTTGTGGGTTTTGGGTGTGCTCAGGAGCTGAATGGTAGGAACATTCGTGTAAACCTTGCAAACGAAAGACCTAGTGCTCCAAGATCATCATTTGGTGGTGGTGGTGGTGGTGGCTATGGTGGTGGAGGTAGTGGTGGCTACTAAATCAGCTAGATGGTTTGAGAGAGAGAGAGAGCTGCTAATCATCTTTCAAGTAGTATTTAGTTAGCTATCTATGTTACTACAACAAACAAAAACCTTTGTTAACCCTGTGTTTGGTTTATCTTTCAATGAATATCGTAATGTTGCTCCATTCTCTGCAAATCTATTTTGCATCGAGTTGATTCGATGTTTTATTTCGTTTATATATTACCATTTGTGGTCTTCGACTTTTATTTGTTTTGGTGCTTTGGATTCGTTCTTGCCAGTTTTCAAGGATCGAACAAAAGTTTGGGATCTTAATGAACAAGGTCTTACTTAAGATTCTGAATTGAATACGATCCTTTTCTATCACCCCCGTGAACAAGAAATTCAGTAATTAACTTAGATATTAAAATATTTTAGTTTCACAAAGATAGAACAATTTTGCTTACCAAAAAAAAAAAAGATAGAACAATTTTTTCTTTCTTTCTTACTCTCTGTTTTAGGCTTTTACCATAATGTGAAGAGACTAAATTAATTCGCTATTTAAATCAATACTCCTCTTTCCTTTCTAATAACATGATTGTGTAAGGTCTGCCTCTAGTAATTCAAGTTTGTTTTAAGCAGTGTTAAAGATGTTCAGTATGGTGTCTATACACTGTATGCTGAACTGTGGAAGCTTAAATTATACAATTCTAATGTTTCCAAAAATATATATATATATATATTATGTGACTTTACTAATTGATAAATTAAAGGAATATGAATGACAATGTAAATTTGTATTGAAAATAAAACTTCTATTTAAAATAAAACAAAATTTTAATTATAAAGCAATACTTATTATGTTTCAAGGCATCGTATTATGAAAAGGGAACATCTCTTCTTCTTTTTTTTTGTTAAAGTTGAAAAGGGAACATTTCAATAAGTAATAACTGCCCAAACTTATATTATCATTTATAAATCTGTAGACAAAAACAACATAAAGGAAAAAGAGGATAACGATAAAAAATTGTGGTCCAATTATCCAATGTCAATGGTTCTCTTCTTTTCTCTTTTTGGTTCATTACGATTCGGATTTATACAGTTTCTAAATTGACTTGTCGACATCAAATCCGATTTTAGGATGAAATAGCAAAGAAAAAAAAACATTAAAAGTAAAAGAAAATAAATTATAGTAAAGAGATATAACAAAAAAAAGAGAGAATAAAATTACTTATGTTACAGTTGGTAAATAGATCACATGTTTCATTCCTTGGTTACAAAAATCCAACGGCTAAGATCTGCTCTAAACACTTTCCAGCAAGATCATAACCCCAAATCATTTATTACATAACAAACCCACATATATTTCCAATTCTACCCATTTTTTCCTCTCCCCCTTTCACTTTTTTCTCTATATATCTTTTCTATTATAACATACAGCTGTAACAATTTAATTCCCCCACAAATTTGATCCCCCTTAACAAAGGACCACCACAAAAAAAAAAACATTTATGATTTGTTTTAGCAATTTAAAAATAAAAACAGAAAAATACAGAAATCTGTCCCTGTAAATAATTTTTTTCTTTTTTTGTTTTGTAGAAAAAAAACAAGCATGTGATGATGATGAAGCAAGAAAAAAGAAAGAGAAAGAGAAAGAAGAGATATTAAGCGGAATCTTCGGCATGAGAGTTTTCCCTTTTTACCCTCGGCTGAATCCCATAATAACCAACGTACCACTTGACGAACTTCCTCAGCCCCGCCGCGAGATCCGTCGTAGGTTTATACCCGAAATCTCTATACGCTAAACTCACATTCGCATGCGTGTAAGGCACGTCACCGTTTCTCGGCATTTTGATCAGATGCTTCTTCGCTTTCGTCCCCAACAACCCTTCAAGAATCGAAACCAATCTCCCGACCGGAACCGGAGAAGTGTTTCCGAGGTTATAAACACGTAACATCGCCGGACCTCTCTTTTTCCCGCCGCTTCCGGTGCTTTTCTCCGCCGTGTCCAAAGCACCGACACATCCTTTAACGATATCGTCTATATAAGTAAAGTCACGCGCCACTTCTTGATTATCTTGCGTCCTGTAAATGTCGATCGATTTCCCGTGGAGGATGTCTTTAGTGAAGAAGAAGTAAGCCATGTCCGGTCTTCCCCAAGGACCATAAACCGTGAAAAACCGGAGTCCGGTTAACGAAAGACCGTAGATGTGGTTGTAAGTGTGAGCAATCTCCTCGCCGGCTTTCTTCGTCGCCGCGTAAAGACTCGCCGGCTGATCAGTCCTGTGCTCTTCAGAGAAAGGATTCTCGGTGTTGAGACCGTAAACGGAGCTAGAAGAAGCCCATACAATCGCTGGCTGAGGATTAGCCGCTTTAGCCACTTCGAGGAGGTTAACTAAACCGGCGATGTTGGAGCTTATGTAAGATTGTGGGTTTTTCATGGCGTAGCGAACTCCGGCTTGAGCTGCTAAGTGGAGGACGTGAGTGAAAGGGACGACATCGAAGAGCTTACGTAAGAGAGGACCGTCGTTGAGGTCTCCTTCGACGATGAACACTTGTTGCTTTTCAAGAAGTTGTTGTCTTGCTCTTTTGAGTGAAGGGTCGTAGTAATCGTTGAAGTTGTCGAAGCCGAGGACACCGTCTCCGCGTTTTTTTAAAGCGATTGAGCAGTGTGATCCGACGAATCCGGCTGCTCCGGTTACGAGGACGGAGAGGCCGTGTGGTCTTTTGGCTGTGGAGGATTGTCTTACTCGCTTCTCCCAAGCGGCTCCGAGAGAGGCAGAGGAGGAGGAGGAGGAGGAAGAGAAGAGGCCGGTGGATAAGAAGCTGCGGCGGTGGAGATGGTGAGCGGCGGCGGCGCGGCTGTCGGAGAGTGGAGGGTAGTTGATGGCGAAGAGGAGGACGAGGAGGAGAGCGACGAGGAGGGTTGCTCGGAAAAGGACTTTGGAAGAAGCGTTTAGGACTTTTGTGCTGTGAATCTTGCGGAGGTAGCTGTTGTATCTCTCCAGCTTCACCGTCTTGCTTGTATCCGCCGTCGCCGACAGGGGCATTTTCGTCTTTTTTGTTTTAATAGGAAACTCTTTAACTGATGATGATCTTGTTGTGGATTCTTCTTCTTCTTCTTTAGATCGAATGGGCTCGAAAGAAGACTTTGATTCGTGAAATGAATAAATTTTATTTTTTTAGTAACGAGGGTTTGAGAGAGTTTTTTTCTTTCTTCAGAGCCCTGAAAATCAAGTGAAGGAACGATCTGATGATTATAAAGAGAAAAAGATAGAAATTTTCCTGGTCGGAAACCACCTTTTTTTTTGTTTTCTCTTTCCCTAATAAAGATATAATATAAATCAAACGAGTTAATTTCTAAAATATAATAAAATAATAAAGTACTGTTGTATTTTACCCAAAAAAACATAAAAGTACTGTTGTTGTTGTTTTTTTTTTTTTTTTTGTTAACACGAGTGTGTGTGTGTGATTTTACCCGAAATATAAGAAGGATGTGCAAGTTAGGCTTTATGCCAATATCGGAGAGAGTTAGCTTGTTCTCCATTAGTATACCAGTATACCATATGGGAAACTTTTTTTTTTTTGACAAAAACCATATGGAAACTTCTTAACAGAGTTCACTTTTGCTATCTTTAAAAAGTGTTTTAGTTATTTACTTTTTTTTCTGTCGATTTACCTATTTTTATAGTCAAGATCTGTTTATTAACTGTTAAGTTTGTTTTCATTACTACTAGATATCAAAGTTTGTCGTTTCCTTTATCTTTAGAGACACATTATGTTATGATTAAAAAAAAGTTTTAAGTTGTACTCAATCAAATTCTCATTTATTATCTAATATTTATTTCATAATTTTAAAGATGAAAAATTAAATTTCAGGAGATATTGATAAATAAATATGAATACTTTCAAGATTACTTTTAACTGAAATCATTTATTTAAACACAATAAATATGATGTATATATATAATTTGATATTCAGAGCAACATTAGAAATGAACAATGAAAATGGTATATTAAACTAAATATATTTTAATATGCTTAAATGCGTTTTTAATATATGTATCAAAATAGAAAGTATTTGAGAGATGTAAAAATGATGAAGTTAAATAATATTTGAGATTATAAAAGATGAACTAACTATCTGGCTTTTTTTAATACAATAGTAGTGACTGTTCTATGACTTAACAGTAAAGTGTGCATACTTTAATATGGATTTTTTTTGGCTAAGAATTATAATATGAGTAAAGTATGGACCTTCGTTGTCAAAGTATATAACTAATTAAATGATTCAAATAATTAAGGAATTTTAACACATTGGTTAAGCAAGAAGACAACCCCACTTCGGTTTGTCTTGTGGTGTGAGGAAATGACAGGAGAGTGCCCCATGTGACTCCCTCCACATGTTCTTATGTGTGAACATTTGGACTAATTTTATTTGCTGACTTATTTTTTTCTACACATTATGTTTTTATAATCATTTATTTGTGAAATTGGGTGGGTTCAACTTAGTTATAAGAACAGTACAGGTAGAAAATAAATGAAGCCTTTTTAAGACCAAAAAAAAAAACAAGAGAACTGTAAAATAGCCGACTTGTTGATAGTCTACGCGTTTTCTTAAAGATGCTTATATTCTACGCAAATACAACTATAAAACTATATGTAGGCTAAACCTGAAATATTAAAATTAGAGATCTGATCAGATCACCGTCGTTAGTTTATCACTTAGATAATTTCTTCTGCCATAATTATTTTTAGAGTTTGTTTCTCGCCAACCTTATATAACTATTAAATCGATATAGAGTTTTTTTTTTGTTATAGATCTTTGTATGAGTTCAAAACTTTAAACGATCAATTCTTTGTAAGTAATGTTATAATGTTATAATGTGGTTCTATCCTAAAACTAAGTTAATGTGTTTAGTGTAAATAGACTCTCTAGTATCTACTACAACCAAGCATCAAGTAATGTAAAGAAAAAATATATATATCAACTATTTGTTAGAGATATTTGGAGTTTACATGTAGCAAAATCATAGTTTTAAGCTGACACCAATATTCTTATATTCATCTCCAGCAAAAGCATAAGCTGAATTGAATTAGCAAGTATAGATATATATGCAAAATTTGGGGAAATAAATCTGCAAGGAACCTTTTATCCAAAAAAACATGGAAGGAACCTTCAATTCGAGAAATCGACAAAAAAAAAAAAAAGCGAATAAGTTAGCCATTATAATCTAAAAATAAAAAGACAAATTAAGTTCTATCTTTACAACTCCGCTTTGTTTTTCTAAACTTACCACAAAAACAGTAGAGCCAAAACTGACCTTTTCTTTAGCAAAACAATATTCTATACTCTACTGCAAGATTAAAATACATGTATTTATATAGATAAGTATGTACTTTAGAAGTAAAAATCTATATTGAAGTGAAAAAATCCAGAGAAAACAATTCAAATTAATGGTTTGCTTTAACTGATATCTTTGAATTTATGAATTAATTTTTTGATTCAAATTTTTTATGTGATGTTATCAAGTTCGATCTAGAAGACAAGCGGGCTATGCAACGGCTTAGAACCATTAACGTTTTTTTTAGTTTATCAAAACCATATTTGAAGGTTATTTAAAACCAACTCTATGTTTAGGATCACCAATTTTATTTTTACTAAAAAGTTATCTGTAAATAATATTTTAGTATAATTTCACATATAGTTGAAGGTTAATATTATTTAAAGTTTTAAATATTATACATAAAAAACCACAAATACTTTTCTCTAATTTGGACCTTTATGTTTATTGGACTGACACTGGATATTATAGAGACCAAAAAAGATAGGAAAAGAAATGAGAGTATGGACAAGTTGAAAAAAACGTTAGGTCAAATTTCAAAGTCAGAAGAAAAATTTGTGCATGTAAAAGTTAAGAGTGGAGAAACATGTGGTTTCTTAATTGTAATCATATCATTTCTCTAAAATGTCTAATTCGAAGCTTCTTTCATTGGATGCGATATTGTATAGGTCCCTCGATATTACCCTTTTTTTTCTTTTTTTCGTTCATTTTGGGTGTCAATATTCTCTTTAATTACGAGACATCCTACTTGCTAATTAATTAGATAGAAAGTTTTTGCAAATAGCAAAAATAATCATTCATGCAGTATGATTACTAGCAATAAAAAATTGGTCGAGGAGTCAGAATTATAAGCTGTCAAATTTAAAAAAGTTTTGTATATCTCTCAAGATTCTATCGTTCTTGTATGTAAGAGAAATAAATTGACTTCGTTTTACAGTTTTCTCTAAAAAGTGAGCCCAAAACCTCGTTGGTTGCCTTCGTAGACGATTCACCATGTTCTACATTTAATGCAGAAGCTCGTGCTAATTGGTTTTTAATTATTTCTTCTTTTTTTGTTAAATGGTTTTTAATTATTTCAGAGGACACCCATAACAATGAAATAATTTTTGATCACTGTGTTTTGTTATAAATAATTTCGTTGATGTTAAAGATAGGTATGTGTTTTACTATTTTTTGTAACAATTAGTGGTTGTATCATGTACGGGCATGTCACCGACAAAAACTTCCAGAATTATATATTCTCTAAGTTCAGCTTAAATAATTATTTTTAAGTTAATTAATTATAATAGCTAGTTGTGTTAGTAGCAGATCTATTTTATTTATGGGATGTCTCTCAAAGCACAAAAACTAAACTTTGCGTAGTATAGTATGCTTATAAGTTATATTGACCTCGATGTTCAAATAAAGTCATGAATGTCATGTTGATGAACATGCAAATTCTCTGAGTAACCAGTGAAGTCACTAGAGTCGCGTCAGGAGGCAAAGATTTGTCAAAGGTGGAAAATGTTCACGTCTTAGAGCTCTACCAAAGAGAGGTTTCATGAAAGTATTCGAAAATATTCTGGAGAAAATCATAGAAATATTCATCTGGTATATACGCATGGATCGAGATACTAGAAGATGTTAGGTTTTAGGATCTTGGGTATTGGGTATATAAGGAGATCTATTTGCTGCTAAGAGGTTAGATTAACACTTTGAGCAGCAAATCATTGTTTTACCTTGAAACTTTCAAACGAAACAGAAGCTAAGAAATAAGTGTTGGGTAGAATAGAATTAAATAAGAATCGGGTTAAAAACAATTTACTTGGTAAAGTTGTATAACATTTAATAAATTGTAATCCGTGAAACAATTTGTTTATCAAATTTAAGTGGATAAACGTATTTGGGTTGGCGTTTTCCAAATCTTAGAAATACTTTTGATCACTGTGTTTTGTTATAAATTGTTTTTCTTAACTTTTAATAAGATTTATATGAATATCTGTAATTAATTCTCTCGTTGGAATGTGGAGTAATATTTCTGCCTTGAAGATTTCCAAATTTTAAAATCTTATACGAATTGTGACATATTTTCTTTGCAACATATATCTAACATCAAAAAAATATTGGTTATTTGGGACATGCTTCTACCCCTTTAGAGTTGACTTTGCTAGTTAATTATACCTAGCTAGTCATGTACTACTAATCGGAATTGGAAAATTTTGGTGAAAAATAGGAATATTTTGTTCACAACATGATTATTAAAAAGAAAAAAAAAAACTGTCGGTGGTCTCAGCCATATTCCGAAGAATTCAAATTGAAATTAGTCGCCAATAATTTGAAAGCGACTTGGTAAAGTAGTGGAGTCGCCTATTTTATGTTGAAAACGGAACTCTTTGTCGGTACACTTATACAGTTCTGTGAATGATTTTGATGGTTTATAGATATTGAATATGGAATATGCGTTTTGGTCATCCAAAACCATCGTGTGTACTAAGTACTAACTAAGTATTTTGTAAAATGTCAATTGTCGTAAACTACTGTTTAATAGAAGAATATTCTTTTGGGTCTCTGAATTTTGGGGATATTAAATTAGTTATAAAAATTATAAGAACGTAAAAATAATTTGGTAGTCTCATAGACAATAGTGTTGTATTTTCCAAATAACCCGAAGCGTGAATACTAGAATGATGATATAGATATATATAGTAGCACAATAAGAGAACAACGAATTTGCCAGTGGCCACGTAAAGACCACCGATTAGCCACTGAATAGCTACCAAAACAATTGAGCCAAATTGATGGTTAGTTGGTTGCAAATCGATCACTATTAGACACTGAAATTTTGGTAACCATTTGCAAATTCGAGTAACAAATGTATGGTAAATCTAATACTATCAAGAGCACAATTTTGTTACAACTTAGGATTCGATTTCAACCATTGTATAGGA